CAGGCGGTTTGTGTTTGATGCATTCTCTGCTTGGTTTGCTATATCCTCCAGATTTTCCTTTTATCAGCTCTTGCTCTTCTTTTAACATCTTTGTCTTTTGTCATATATTCTTCTCTCTTAATTTCGTTTATTCTCTCCGAATTTGATCTACCTATTTCTTCATTTAGTTTTTTTTCTTTCATTTATAGATCTGTATGTTTCTGCAGTAAGCCAGTCTTTCTGTTTCCTTTTTTTCTGGCCCAAGATCTTTTCTGTTGTTTCATTATATACCTCTTTCACAAGGGTCCATTTTTTGTTGACTGTCTTTTCCTCTTCAGACAGTTGCTGAAACCTACTTTTTATTTCAAACTGGAATCCTTTGCATATTCTTGGATCTTTCAGCTTGCTGACCTCATACATCTTCCTGTTGCTTTCTTTTTGCTGTGAGTTTCTACAGAGCTTCACCTTTATTTTAGCAAGTACTATATGGTGATCTGAATTGGTATCTGCACCACGCATAACCCTTACATCACATACAGACTTCTTGTATCTGCCATTCACCATCGTCAGTTTGGTTCCTATCTCTTCCATAAGAAGATTCCCATGTAAGCTTGTGTATGTCAAGGTGCCTAGAGAGGGTTCCGCAGAAGTTATTTAGAGCGCACATTTCAGCTAACCTCATGCCATTTTCATTCACAGTCCCAGTGCCCTCTTGTCCCACGACTCTTTCCAATCCATCACTTGACTTTCCAACTTTTGCATTCGCATCGCCCATTACCATCAGTATATCATGATTTGGCAATATCTCTCTCTGTAACTTTTCGTAGAAGGTGTCCTAATCCGCTTCATCTGCTTCGTTTGTTGGGCTCTATATTTGTATTACTCTTAGCTTAGCAAAGCGGAGAAAAAGCGTGCGTTGATGATTCTGTCATTAACAGGATTCCATTCCATCAAGCTTTGTCGATTTTTCCTGCTAAGTTTAAGCCCTACTCCTCTATGTTGTTCCTCAGCTCCGGAGTACAAGATATGGTCTCTCCAGTGGTTGTCTTTAATTCACCAAAGCCTGTCCATCTTACTTCGCTCAGTCCCATTATGTCCAACTTAAATTTGTTAAACTTTTATACGATGTTAGCTGTTTTTCCAATTTGGTAAAAATTGGAACATTGTTCTTACGTTCCAACATCCGATCTTGGTGATATTTTTAGGTGTTGTTATGGATGGGATTTGCGTTCCTTTCAGGTTACTGGGGTCCTTACGGCTTTTTCTAATTGCCTCGTACTCTCGATTCCAAATGAAGATAATCCTCAATTGGAATCTAGCATGTCGCGCCTACCCTTCCTTCAGTGGTACTAATTGTTATAACAGTTTCCGTGATCATCTGATTTTTATGGAAGGAGGTGGTTAGCCTCAAGTCCAACCTCCAAATTCGTGTCTGGGGGGCCAACATAGTAGTTGATAACGGTCTCCTACTAAATCCAGGTTATGACCACAGTTTTCTCTCCCAGCTGAGTTGCCGGCCAAGGCTTTCGAGTCTGATCTTCCCGTGCGCCCTTACGAAGTTAGCCTGGGGCCAAAAGGTGCCCAGTATCCGTCTGCTTCCAGGTGGAGGCATCGCATAGGACTTGTTGTGGAGAGGCTATGTACTGGCAGAGGAAGACTTACAACCGCTTCCCTTTTTGCATTGCTGCTAGCCAGAGGTGAGGGCTGAAAGCGAGAGGTGGCAAGCACATAGACACCAACACCAAAACACTAGACGCATCACACAACATTTAGCAGACAGTATGTACTTAATATATAAGAAACGACGATTATTTACGGTTGTAACCCTCAACAATGACGCCTGGTGACACCCCCTCCCCCTTTTTTGCTCGTCAGGGATTTCTTGTTTACTTTGTACCCCTCCAAAATAATTTCGTAGGCCGTGCCCCAACATTAAAATTGCTTTCTACGGGCCTGTATTGTGAACCAGTCCTACCTCTCGGAGCCATGGGTGAATGATTTAAACAAATTTGAATCTGCAATACCTGGGAATGCTTACGTATTAATAGCGATTCTCTGTAACCACTTAAACTTCTTTGCCACGCATGGTCACCGATTTTGATGAAACTTTGCCCATTATTACAACTTGACACCAGAAACATATATCAAATAAAATTTCGTTGCTATGTGTCTTGGTTGCCATGGTAACAACCAGAAAAGTTGAAAAAATTGAGATTTTCAGCTACTTTGAATCTTTATTAAGCCTTAATAAAGACTAATAATAACAAAAAAACAATTCTCACAAAAACCTGACACCTTGTTGCCACTTATGCTATAAAGAAACTATTTAGAATTTATCTCTTAGTAAGTGGTAACCATGGGTTCATTTGGAATACATTTTAGATGCTGAAAAATGCTGAAAAACGCTCAATATTCACTAATGATAGGTGTTAAATGATCAAACTCAATCAACAACCTAAGAGAAAACAATAAAAATATTTGACCTTAAGTAATTAGGTATTGGCAATATTATTCTAAAAATAACTTTCATGGTTGCCATGGTAACACAGTGTTACCATGCAAAATGTGTTGCTAAGATTGGGTTAATGCTACTATTTTCAGGAAAAACAATAAATTTCATGACTGGCACATATATATCCTTAGGACCTTGCAACACCGACAACATAAGAAAAATTGGGATTAATTGTTACTTTGCAGTGTAACCATGGAAACAATGTACCAGTTGGTTAAAGTGATATTTTTTGCTGCCTTAGGAATTTAATTACTTTTTATTCAAGAAACATATTATTTGACTCACCTTGAATAGTGCTTATTTGGTAGAACTAAAGTTGAATATCATATATTGATAACGTTTGTTGAAAAATACAACACTGTTGCTATGGTAACCAAGAAGGGAAAATGTTCGATTTTGTTAATTTTATATCAATATTAAACCCTTTGTGCCAGCTTTTTGCATCCAGTTAGAGATTGGGTGGCAGTCAAAATTGAAAGTCAGGTTAGTTGTTCATAATTATCAATCATAAAAGTTTTGGGAATCTACGTACAAAGGTACGTATCCAAGGAAACAGAATATTTTTCAGATTTTTATGCATATTTTCTCGGCTTATTTCCATAGCAACGCTCTATTTAAAGAATTGAATTTGAATTTTTTGAAATGTGAAAATTAGGGTCACATGAACATCTTTAAAAATTGATTATTAGTTATATAGAAATATGCTTTTTAAAAAGATAGGATTAGATTTAAACACTACGAGAGTAAATTTAAAATCCCTTCTTGGTATTAAAACAATGGCAACCATTGCCAACCAATAAGAAATATCATATTTCTTCCTTGGTATATGTTACAAGGATCTTTTGTCTATTATTTGCTTGCATTTCAACCTAAAATTCTTTTTTTTTCTTAAGTGTATGATTATATAAAATTAGATGAGCAAAATTATTACTTTTGAATACTTTGTTTCCATAGTAACGTATTTAATAGTTGATTTACCAAACATGTTTATCATGCATTTAAGATATCAGGCCTTCAACTTTCAGAAACAACCATTGCCACTTGTTGGCTTTGCTGCAAAAGTTAACTGTGGGACTCTGAACATGTTGAAAAATGCCATATTTCAAACTTTAGGACATGTTGCCATGGTAACCATGACACGTAGCAACCAATTTCTGCCTGATTTGAGTTTACGGTATCAAAGACTTTTATCATAGATAGTTTGGAGAAATTCTGAGACTATGCGTGCCACAGCTCCTATATAAAAGTTCAAGTCATTACAGAGAATGGTTCTTAATGTGACAAAAAATCCCGCTGTTCTTAATTGAGAAGATATTTAAATTTCCCCCCATACATATTCCCACATAAAAGTTTGACTTTTGGGGAGGGGGGATGATTTGATCCTTTATTTGAATTTTTTTTTATTTACTTTACCCGGGGATGCTCTGTGGCAAGTTTGGTTGAAATTGCCCAGAAGTAAAGTCCCACTGGACACCCGATTACTGTTGTTAATACATGTACAGTGTATATACTGAAACGCAAAAGAAACGCAACAAGCAGTAATCTACAAATATTTGAATTTTTTATCTAATGATTTTCAAAAATGAATACAGTAAGGTAAAACTCGATTCATAAGCATCAGAGATTTGATAAAAATGTTAAATTATAACCTTTTAACTTTAGAAAGTTATATATGAATGTTAAAACACCCCCACCCTGGCCATTCAATTACAGCGTGCAAGACTGCCATTTACAACAGTTGCAGCTTGATTTCTACGATGCAGTAGGTTCATCAATCTCGAGCTCTGGGCGAAAGAAATATTCTTTGCCATTTTTAAATGCCTGTTTTTCAGATGATGAGGTCGAATTTTCTCTACCCAGGCGCAGTGTTATACCCTTGGAATTTCACAGAAGTGATAAATTAAAAGAATTAGAAAGATTACAGGAACAATAAGTTACATGGTTCCAACAGACAAGGCTTGTTTGTAAGTCTCACTATTATAACCGTACTTTAGAAGAACTTGATTTTAATTGTATACCTGGAAATCCTTCCTATACTCATGGTTCATTTTCTAAGGATGAAATTCTTCAAAATCACATTTCAGTCTAATACTTCTAACATTCCAGTTCTCAAAGGTGAGTTCGATCTAGCCTACCTATCTAATGGATTCCTAAACTTCATAAAATACGAGCAAATTACCGGGTCCAGCAAGTTTACAGACGGATGGATAGGAAGCTATCATAGACAGACGGACATCAGACAACAGAAAATCAAAGCTGAATTGAGCTCATAGCTCACGAGAGCTGAAAATTGACCAGCAAATGTCTGAATGTCTGGAGGGGGACATACAGTAGGAATTGCAGTCCGAAAGGCAGGTGCGCGGACTTCTCTGTGTTAAAGGCCCCTTCTGTCCACCATACTTTCACATGTTTCATTCAAATGCGAACAGAAACGAAGTATGTATTAGATTAGGATATGCCCATGATTCTGTTATTTTCTCCTTTGAACTGCTTAACTCCATGTTCCAAACTGCAACAGGTACCCCGAAGATAAATGATTGCATAATTTCCAAAATACGGCATAGTGCTTGGAATAACTAGAATAGAGCGCTGGTGGTGTTCAAATTGCATAACGTGAAACGCATTGTTTGCAAAAGAAGCAATATTTAGAACAACCGTCTTACTTTGGTAAGTGTCAAAGTAATCCATAATTAAGATTCCTCTCAGGGTTAATTATGCTGATCAATTTTACAGTTTAAATCGATCGACATTCGATGCTCATCGGGTGAGAGTGGGAGGGGGCATTTAGCCAAGGGAAGGGGGGCGGGTGGGTAAGCTTTATTAATTTTTTTCAGTTCCATGACACTTTTGTGTGCAGAATTCTTTAATTAAAGTCAAGTTGATTACTTTTGTTTTACATAATGAATACACAACACGTGTTGACAGTATTAGATTTGAGTATTAATTAAATTTGTTATAATCTTTCCTGTAAAAAAACATGATAAAAAAAAATTGGATTTTGTTTAAAGAAATTCTTGACTGGTTGTAATGATTATGCTTTGGAAATAACACAAACACAGAATGATCATTTGACCGCTCAAAATTGTAAACAGACTAGTGTTTTGACAGTAAAAATGCTTCATTTCATAAACACATTCAAGTGTAACACAGTATGTGTTTCCTATTATATAATCTAGAGTAAATTCCCATGACTTTGATATCTTAAGTTATTAAATCTGAATTTGCTGTACACATGTATATGTAAGTATGGATGCAAAATGATGTGTCTCTTTAATTAACAATGACCTCAGGTGAATTTAAGAACAAATTTCATGTAACTTGAAGCTTTTAAGAAAAGTGTATACCTTTAAATATGCATTTAACATGTCTTACAAAGTATAGATATCATCTCCAGGTAAATATAAAAAAAAGTAATGTGGAGCTTTTAAGAAAAGTGTTTCTGCAGTTAACATGCCCTATAAGTATACATGATTTTGTAAGTTTTTTCGTTTATACATTTCTCTTAAAGCAATATGAGCTGCAACTTTGATGTCAGAAATTTTTTTTGCAAATTAAATTGTAATTAAGTGTTTCAATGACAGAAAAAAGAACGTTTATAAACTTCTGTTGTTCATATTTGCGATGGAAGAACTATTTATAAGCTTTGATTGAAGCAAAATTACATTATTGTCGTCCTGTACAATATTGATTTCTTATATAATACTATATATTTGATTGTACAGAATCCTTTCTTCCGAAACAATTTGATACTTTATTTCTGTCTAATTGATCAAAAAGGTTTAAAATACGTACAAATTTATTATAATAACACATTTCAGCAGCAAAATAAAATTCTCAAAAATGCAGCTCATATTGCTTTAATGGACTCTCCGTAATATAGCTGGAAAACTTTCAATCTTTGTTGAAAAGTAATGAAACTGACAAAAATATTTGATCTTGAGAGCATGTCATAATGTAAAAGGGGGTATGGGGGGGGGGGGGGGTTAAAACTTCTAAATATTCCTTTTCATAGCAGCTACACTGTAGCAGGGATAGACATTAACTTTCAGATTGACTTGCCCTTCGGGCAAGTGATCTCAAACTTTGGCTTGTCCGAATGGTAAACTTGGTTGCCCAAAATAAGGATAGAACTTAAGAAGAAAATTGTTTATTAATGTAAATGTTATGACAAGAAAAAATGTGACCAAATACACTACTGTCAATTTGGCAAGGTGAGGTACCTGAAAAAATTTCAATGCTGCGTTTGTACATAAATGTATATTACCATCCTTGTAAATTTAACCTGTTAACACATACTGCCATGTAGCAATAACCCTCCGTTTTAATAAAATTCATATTTTTAAAAATTATTTTTGGTAGGATTCTCTTGTGAATCGTGATTTTCAGAGATAACTGTGAAGCAACTCTAAAGGAAGATAGTTGCTACGTAACATACATCTTTATCTTGATCAGGATACATTGTGTTACACTGTACTAATATTTTGTGAGCAAATAAATAAACTAATTTTTAATAAGAAGTTAACAAAGATGTTAGACGAAGAGCATATTTACCACGAAAGAAAACAGAATAACGAACCCGATTTTCAAATGAATCCAGAAAGTGGCAGAAACACTACCATCGAATTCCGAATGCAAAAACAATGTCAGTCAGGTACCTGGGGAAAATCAAGTGTTCAATTTATTGTTTTATTTATAAATTAATGTATACTAAATAAAAACGTACATTTCTATAAGAAAAATTCACTTGCCCGTTCGGACAAGTACGTCGACAGTTTCACTTGCCCGAACTGAGAATTTACTTGTCCCGGGCAATCGGACAACCGTTAATGTCGATCCCTGTGTAGTACAAAGTGTGAATGAAGATGCACATACAGTAGAGCTTGTCTAATCCAGACCCCACAGTTTCTATTGAAATTTGTTAGATTGGATTATATTTCAATTAGATAACACTTTAAACAATTGAATATACCTTAATGAACAAACAGTTTTCTTTGTTTATATATAGACAACATTTCAGAATACTTATCATCTGGATTAGACTATAGTTTTACTATATATGCTGCAAATATGCCTATAAACTATAACTATTCTGATTAAAAGAAGGCCTTATATTAGATGAACACTTACATAGCTGCTTTGATCAATACTTATTTCACAAAAAGGAGGGAAAAAATGTATGAAATTAACATGGTTGATACAATTAAACCTTCACCATTTGTCCATTTGTAATATTCATCTTCTGTTCTTAAACTCTTGTTCTCTTCTTAAGAATACCTGATTTATTGAAAATGCTTCATGTTTTACTTAAAAGCAAAAAAAAAAAAAGAAAATTAAACATGTTATAAAAAAAAAAATATATAACCAAACAAGCATTACCAAAAAAAAAAAAAAAAACTTGGGGGAGAAAATCTGTTAAAGTGGTTCTGATGAGCAAGAGTATACTTCTTCAGAAATTTTGAAATTCATGGCCCCTGGGTCAGGAGTTCTGGAGTTGGATGGGCTCTAATATGATCATGCATTGAAATTTTTACTCTGCTCTAAGAGAAGTTACTCCCCTTTGTCATTCACCCATGATAATGAATCACTGTAAATAAATGTAATTGTTAGGTAAATTGAATAATAAAAAAAATAATATACAAGAATTTTTAGTGTATAATACAAAGAGAAGTTTTATAGTTTTGAATGGTCAGGCAGACTTGTAAGTAATAGGTGAATAAAAATAAGACAAAATACTTTATATTTGTACTTTAAATGTACAGGGCAAGAGTATGGGGCTTTTGACGAGTTCTCTTTTTGAAATAAGTTTCCATTGCTTAAGATAGTGGTAGAGTTTAGGTAGCACTGGTATATACAGGCAAGTAAATAAGATCTACTTTCTGAGTTGTTGTTGATTACCAGACTAACTATTTTGTTAATCCCTGATTGTTCTAATTCTTTGTTTTTGAGCAACATATCATCATGCATCTATCAATTTACTTTGTTTTATCATATAGTTATTAAAATGCCAGTCTATGGATCCTTTACAGGGTTGAATTATACTCAGGTGCTCTTGGGCCTCTTGTATATACATGTATACATAATGCTCTGACAACTAGCCAGCTAAGTTTTTCTGAGGCTTTTCATAATGAATGACATGTTCTAGAAGGAAGTAATTGAACTGAAGAAGCAATGAGGAGATATAGATGGGAAAGTGATAATATTTTGATATGGAAAGTCATGACTAGTTTCCACTACATGTACTTGTTGAAGAGGACTTTTTGGCTTTGTACGGATGTATAAGATCCTGAATTGTTCAAAGTCACATCTTTATTCTTCACTGATTGTCTTTAATTATTATGAGTTATTACGTATTAGCAAGAATGAAATTGAATTCAGTTTTTTAAAAATACTTTTATTCCCTCAATAAAATATCAGAAATGTGCATCATAGGTAGATGGTTGATAGCTACAAATCATATACATGTACATGTATATATATTTGGTAGTTAAGATTTATCAATCGAATGTATGTATTGAAAGAAAAAAAAACATTTTAATCTCACTGCAAGAAATGTTCAAAGAGCTATCATGGTTTCTGTCGTGTTATCAGCGTTTATGATCACCAGGTTAAAGTTTTCAAGTCCTTATTTAGCTTCTCATGTTATGAAGCATATACAGGTATGATTTTACCATATTTTTAAGATAATCATTTACTTAATCGAATACTATTCAGATTCTGCACATATATTTAATTAAGGTTATCAGGGTTAAAGTCGTAAATTAAGGTCAAATTTATTCTGAGTGACAGAAAAAATCATGGTATCCCACTTCTAAAAGGACATAATTCTTTATCATTAATTATCTGATATAAAATACTCTGGCATTCATCTTAGGGATTTAAGAGTAGGAAAGGATTTACAGAGAGAAGTTTAAAAATGCAGTTTTCTAAGGAATAATAAATCAACGAAGATTGTGCATTGAGGTCTAGCTATGAAGATAAGCTGAATTTTAGATACATGTACTAAGAAAACAGACAAATTTATAATTAGGGATTACATTTCAGATGGTAAAGGTTTTTTAAATGAAAAGATTATTTAAAATTGTTTTTTTTATTTATTAAAAAAAGGGAGATAACTCTTTAAGGAAAGCTTAAAGTCATAAATTATCCTGAAACATTAATCCTTACATACAGATAGTTATAAATGGAAATTATGTCTAAATATATTGACTAATATAAAACAAGTACATTATCTGTTGAGCATGTGCAAGATAAACAAGATGTGTTTGTTAAACACTGATGCCCCCGTATGGCAGCTTATGGCGAAGGTTAAAGTTTCTCAAATGCGGGCCAAAAGATAAAAAAATGTTAAATTTGAAAGCCCTAGCTGCAACTGTTCAAAAGTTATGGCAAAGATTAAAGTTTTTTAAAAGTAAGTAAAACCTCAAGGTCAAGGTCAAAGTTGTTGGTATCCAAAGGAAGGTCTTGTCACAAGGATTACATATGTAAAGTATGAAAGCCCTAGCACCAACCATTCAAAAGTTATGGCCAAGGTTAAAGTTTTTCGGAAGTAGGTCAAACTCCTATGTCAAGGTCAAAGGGTCAAAGTGGTCAGTATCCAAAGGAAGGTAATGTCACAAGGATTACTAATGTGAAGAGTGAAAGCCCTAGCACCAACCATTCAAAAATTATGGCCAAGGTTAAAGTTTTTCAAAAGTAGGTCAAACTCCTAGGTCAAGGTCAAAAGGTCAAAGTGATTGGTATCCAAAGGAAGGTCTTGTCACAAGGATTACATATGTGAAGTATGAAAGCCCTTGCTCTAACCGTTCAAAAGTTATGGTCAAGGTTTAAGTTTTTCAAAAGTAGGTCAAACTCCTAGGTCAAGGTCAAAGGGTCAAAGAGGTTGATATCCAGAGGAAGGTCTTGTCACAAGGAATACACATGTGAAGTTTGAAACCCCAAGCACCAACTGTTCAGAAGTTATGGCCAAGGTTAAAGTCTCATAAAATTTTGCAAAAGTGGGTCAAACTCCGAGGTCAAGGTCAAAAGGTCAAATATGATGGTACCCAAAGAAAGGTCTTGTCACAAGGAATACACATGTGAAATATAAAAGTCATAGCTCCAACCAATTAAAAGTTATGGGCAAGGTTAAAGTTGACAACAGACAAACAGATAAACAGACAGACAGGACAAAAACAATATACCCCCGGGATCTTTCGATGGGGGGGCATTAAAAACTACAAATAAGGTTCATATCCTCAATGATTTGCTCATGCGACAGAACTACATGTGCTCATGCTGTAAGTTGCTTAATAATACTTTTTAAGTACACTGGATTGGGCTTGCAGATATTTCTCCTTATTGAATTAAAATATTTTTTATTGAATCATTTAGGATAAAATAAATAATGTAAATATAAGGAATAATGTCTGTTTTTTGGTTTATGATGATGATCAATCAGTCTGCTCGCATGATAATTTTATGCAAATTATTACGCAAGCAAACTGATTGATCATATCATAAATCTAAAAAACGTAGACAGTATTCCGTAATTTAAAGCTATTATGAGCAGAATGCCTTAACTACTGTTTTTAATTTTTTTCTGTATTGATCCTTCTTATATTTCTGATGCATGATATATTTACTGTGAATATCATTCAGAATTAGAATATTAATTCACTTTAGGGCTGCACATTCAATCCTTATACTTACAGATAGTTATAAATGGAAATTTTGTCTAATTGTATCGAGTAATGAAACAGAACATGTCTCACAGTTGTACATTCAAATTGGTTGAATTTAGAGTTATTATTGGCCTTAGCTAATGTTTTTAAGTTTTTCTGTATTAATCCTTCTTATATTTGATGCATGATTTTCATTAATTTCTTAGTTGTGAATATTATTCAGAATAGATTTATTTATTTATTTTGCCTTTTTTTTTATTGAATTGTTTTCAGAAAGAAAAAATTTATAATGAATCCAACTGATTTTTAATATTTTCTGCAGACTTTAATATTTTCTGCAGACTTAACAGTATGGCCTTTGAATATTGATGTTATACTATATCTATAGTCAATTTCTTAATGATTGCATTTTTCCTTTTGAGAGGTGTTTGGAGAACTGCTAGAATTGGCTGAGAGGCAGTACTGTAGATCATCAAATTTTGTGACACCTTATTTTTGTGAAACATTTAGTATTTTAAGTGAAAAAAAAAATCATAATTTTTTACGATTATTTTATTATATCTAGCAGTTCTCCAATTGGCCACTAAAATTTAATGATAGCAGTTTGTCATTTGTAAAAACTTTTTCTGCATAATGAATGCAAAGGTACAAGAGAAAACATGGTTTTCTTGCCATTGAAAATTAATCACACAATTGCCTTTTTTGCCTGCTCAAGAAATAGACATTATTTGTAAAGGAAATTGCAGAATAAACTTGCTTCTTGTAAGGATTGACTTGGATATTCAAACAATTTTTGTCATGCTAAAAGCAAAGGAAAAAGTGTCCAAAAACTGGTCACTTGCCAGTTGTTAACTTATTAGGGAGACTAAGCTACATTTTTTGTAATATACAAGCATCTTAAATTCAAATTATAGCCCCAGTGTTAAACAGGGTCACAAAAGGTGAAAGTTCTCAACGTCAAGTAGATTTCCATACAAAAAGCATGTCATTGGCTATTATTTATCAGTTAAGTAATTGGTGAGCATTAAATATGCTTTTTATTGGAATATTGAATTCTGAATTGAAGTTATTTGCTCTTATTTGGAATTGCAATGTCAGTTTGATAGCGTTCATTTTGTCAAACTTTTGATAGCACCATGACTCTTGTGAGCATTGTGGCCTATGGGCCTCTTGTCTATAAACTTAATGCATGTAAATTTTAATGGTCATTTGATGCAACCAGGTCACCCATGACTCTCTTTTTTATTGTGGATTGTATGCAGTGGTGCTTTAAAAGATCATTGGCCTACTTTAAAGGATTTAAAAAACATTTATTCTTTGTTTTCCTTTTTTTTTTTTTTTTTTTTTTTTTTAAATAACAATTATGTTTTTGATAAAGTGTCAGATTGATCCCCAGAATTTGATCCAGGTGTCGAGAGTGTACTACCTCAAAAGGCACACATGATGTCATTAAACGTATTCTAACACTATTATTTGAGTTTTTACTGGTACAGAACATAAGCTAGACATTATGTACCACTATTCATTTCATTGTTGATATTCATTTAAAGTCCTGCCCTTTGAATGGTAAGTTTTGAATTTTTTTTTTTTTGTCCACCTTTTAGGCTCTTGGCTGTTAATCAAACAAATGTGTGTTTTTGTTTAGTTCACGTTTTTAATGATTAATTTTCTAAATGATGATGACAGTTTAAATGAGAGAATTTTAATGTAAAAAAAAAAAATCAACTCTTGGTAGATTTTTTGCATTGAATGTGTAAAAATTAACTTTTCTATAAAAAAAAAAAGAAACATAGCTTGCTTTTGAACTACACTCTGTAATAAGAGCCTATTGCTCTGAAGAACACCTGTTTGTGTGGTTGTCTTTTTTTTAAACCAGGTATGTAAACCTATCACATTAATTATAAAAATCAATGACTAGATTGTATAAAGTCATGATAGTGCTGCACAGGATTAAAATGGATTTACAACTGAACAGGTAGCATATGTTATGGAGAGGGTGGCTTTAAAGTCATTTTGTTAATGATGTGGTTAAAACATTTATCTGTTTGTCTTGTCCTCTGGGGCTTAATTATGAGATTCCTTTGAAATAAATGTGAGGTTCAACATCCTCATTAGCTGTACATGATGAGCAATATTTAAATCAGAAGGCACTGCTTTAAAATAGGTACTAATTATAGACCCAGGACATTTGGTCAATATTTCTCTGTGGCTCAATTAAATATATTTGAAATGTTAATATAAGTAATTTATTGCAGTTTTGAAATAAATTCAAAGGAATATGAGCCAATACTAATTATCAGTCAAACACAGTTTCAAGAAGTTCATGTACTAACATGCTCTAGGAAATACTCCTCTGTGAAAAGAATCGGGTCATACCTTCATGAACTTTCAAAACCAGAAGACATTTTTGATTACAATCTTTAAAGGACTAGCTGTTATAGGTTATGACAGTATCACTGAATTTTTTATTTATTGAGCTAATTGCAAATGAATAGCCAACAATTCCCTCCCTTTTCGCACTTTTATTTGACAGTAATATATCCCGTCCCTTAACATTTAACAATGAATTATAAGAGATTTATTGTTTGTGTTTAGTTTAATGTTACTTCATTTTATGTACATAATTTCCTTATTGCCACTGTACACATATATTAATTACAATCATTGCAAAGACTTATTCAGCATACTAAGGACTCGGTTTTATTTCTCTTTCTCAGACCAATCTAGATGGGTGAACACATCTGGAGGGGACCGTCCAAGGTGAACAAACAAAATTAGAATTCTGATGCAGGTTCATGAAGTAAATTCATAGACTATACATACATCTTGGATGCATATCTAATTTATTCACATGTATAATTGTATGTAAAAATTCAAATTGTCTGCTCTGTACGACATTGAATTTACATATTAACCCAGTTTACAGCATAATGTGCAGTAAAACATTGGTAAACCTTGAACAAAATCTTGAACAGTTTATTAACTGTAAGAAATGCATTTCAGTTTTGAAAGTTCATGTATGTATAACCTGATACTAATCACCCAGTTAATATTTCAAGATAGCACTCAAAAGCAGTGATAACACTCTTGTAACATTCAAACTTTTCAAATTGTCTTATAGGGTTTATTTTGGCTGAAAAAGTAGTTCCAATTCTGACTTAGCTATATATTATTACTCATCATATGTGGTTCATGAGGATATAAATGTAGAATTTCCTTTAAATTATTCTAAAATAGAAATTGTACCTTAATATGTAAATATATTCCTCTAAATGTTCAAAGAAATAGGCACAATCTACCTATATTTATATCTAGGAAGTAATTTGTGTATTTCAGGATATATCAACATATATGGAATTACTTAGAGTTTTCCTAATATAGTTCTAAGAAAATTTTTAAAAGTTTCTTAGAAGTTTTAATGACATTTTGGGAATTACTGCCTTGTGAATTTTCACTTTCATATACCAGGTGCAGATAAGTTAGCAGAAGATGAAATCCACATGATTTTTACTATTACTTGGATATGAAAGAAAAAAAAACACCCAAAAATTAGCAAATTATCCAGTCATGCAGTAATCATATTGAATTTTATCCTTTTTAGGTTATTGGAAAAGTGAACAGAAGATTGAAAGATGGTTGCTCGACAGAACTGGAGTAAGAATGTAGAATTTTTGCTGGCTGCCATTGGGTATTGTGTAGGCCTGGGAAATGTGTGGAGATTTCCATACCTCTGTTACAGCAGTGGAGGGGGTAAGGTGTTCAAATTTCTTAAAATAGCAATGATGCAATGTACATGTATCAATCCTCATTATCTTGATATTTTATTACATTATTATAATTATATTATATCGATATTTCGAATACCATGGATATGTCAAAGTGAATTAGAAATCCCAACCACCTTTATGTATTTAAACCACAATATCTTGAATCCTTGAATATTTTGAAATCTACAGTTCGAGATAACAAGGTTTGACGGTAGTAAAACGTCACTATTTATAGCCAACCTGATGCTTAAGAAAAGATAATTGTTTGATAAGACCTCTGGAAATTTTTCAACCATATTGATGTTGCCTCTGAAAAGTCCAGTGTACTAGCTGCATGGCTTGATGAAATTTCATCAATTTAGACTGAAAGGAATGGGGCTAGCGTTTATGAATATTAAAGTCTTCAATTTTTTTTTTTTTTTTTTTTTTTTGGATGATTTTACATGTTTATTGCCTTTTATATTGCTGGAATCATAGAGTTCTAGATCATGGCTCTTTTGAAAATCTCAGTTTTCTATGGCATCAATAAATGCTGTTGTACTGAAGAAAAAAAATATATTACTTGAAGAAGTTTGACTGCTATTCACAATATGAGTAAAGATTTTTTTTCCAATTCAAAGATTGCAAAAGGAGCACATTTATAATTTTCCCCTTTATGGAAGAAGTCATATTTTAAGGACATGAAGTGCATGAATTGGGACATCGTGTATAGGACAGGACTAAGTTGATCAACTTTGGGAATAATGAATCCTAAGAAAGGTTTAAAAGTCTTTGTTAGAATTATTGATTTAATCTGTGGTATTACTCAGCAGTACTTATATGGATCTAAGTGCATGATATGTTGAAATAGCCAATTGTTTTCAAAACGAGAAAGGAGATGAATGAAATTTCATTGAGTTGTCCGGCTGAGTAAATGTATGGAACAGCATGTTTGCAATAAAATTTTTATGTTCATGGTTCAAAATTATAAAGAAAACCTTACAAAAATTAAATTACATCAGGTGTTTGTTTGGTTTTTTTTTTAAAGAATAAAACAAGTACATGTTGAGTTGATATAAAATCTTAACAATGATTAAAAGAAAATTGATTTGGAATAATGGGTGCATGTACTCTGTGCATCAGAAAAGAATCAGCAAATGTTTTTTATTTAATCATTTGCTTTTGTTTTTGGTAATCAGCTCAGAATTTGAAAGCCTTTTAAGGGGCCATCTTTGTTAGCCAAGGGTTTTAAGTCCACTCTTCTCCCAGGGAGTGGTGTGGACCTAAAATCTTTTAACTTGTGAAGATGTGGGGGTATGGTGTTCAAGTTTTGCAGCAGATTGACTTCATACTTATGGCCAATGTCAGGATATCCACCTGAGATCAAGGTCAGGTTACAGTTCTGAGGGAGAGAGAAACTCTGGAGACAGGCTATCACCTGTATATAGCAATAAAACAAAGAATAATGATATTAAAAAGTACTGAGACAGAAATATCATGTTTAATTTATAACATATATTGAAGACCAACATCAAAATGTGGATACCCGACAACAGTGGTAATCATTATGTCTCTCTGTCAATACTTTTATGTGGCATGATCCTTGGGTACCTTTTAATGGAAATGCTTCATATTCATGACAATAGGTTGATAAAGAAACTTACAGCTTTTAAGGTCATGTTTCTGTCAAATGTCAATACTTTTATGTGGCATGATCCTTGGGTACCTTTTAATGGAAATGCTTCATATTCATGACAATAGGTTAATAAAGAAACTTACAGCTTTTAAGGTCATGTTTACCCTATTAAAAGTCGAGGCCAAAAGGTCATAACTGAGGTCAAATACAATTTTGGTAGCAAACACTGACTGGTTTTGAAAGCAGTTATATATTTTATATATGGAATTGAGTCTGTATGTTATATTTATGTCCATTTTCAGGGGCATTCTTAATTCCATTTTTCCTTATGCTGATCCTATGTGCCATTCCTCTGCTTTACATGGAGTTGGCTGTTGGACAATACACACAGAATGGGCCAGTAGGGGCCTTAGCCAAGATCTGTCCACTATTTAAAGGCAAGTTTGTCAATATTCTAAGACTATGTTGAATGGAATGTTATAATTCAGCTTATAAATTTAATTAAAGTAACTGTTACAGTAGTAGATATTTTCAGAATAGATAAATATACATGTATTAATTTCTTTTATCGAATTCAAGTGATAACATAGAATTAATGTATGAAGAGCAGTGCATTTTCTGTTTAGAAAATTAAATCATATCTTTTGTTGAAATATATATTAGTTACAGCATAACTGTGGAACAAAATTTTAGTACTATCTTATTTTGTGCCAAAGATATTATTGAAGAAAATGAATCTTCCATAATCCAGATTTTTGTTCTATCCACCTCAAAATTCAAACAACTCCTCTTTGTCCAAAGACACGTCGCTATTTCATTAATCTTCACTGAAATCTGATCTTGTCTTTGAGAGTCAACAAAGAAAATTACTAGGTATGTTTGGGAGAAGAACTTATTCACTACTTCTAAATGAGTTAAATCAAGTGTGCATGAGTCTAAGTTGGTACCATTTACACACTTGTTTTAGGTGACGAAAAAGAAAGCTCTTAACAGCCCGCATATAAATTGCCAAATTCTAATGTCATGAAAGCCTGATCTTAGCTCCTGACATTAAGCTGGCAAATTAGGGGGTTACACTATGTCAGTGATACTTGATTGCGCCCATGACAAAAGGGCCTTATGGCAATTTTGCTAAAACAGAGAAATAACGTCATAAAGATATGACGTTGCAGACGGTGAGCGTCGACGCAGATTTTTTTATCTACGTGTTTTACGTTTTGACACGTGTAGTTCACTTTTGTCGTTGTTCTCAACATTGAAATAATTATTTATTTTCACTTATATCTTTAATTCACTTCTTGATCTTCTAGTCCACTGATATTAATCAAAATATTTAGAATTTTATTCGAGACCCGTTTCTTTACTACATGTTATTGTAGCTTTATACGTCTCCAGAAGATGATCTGGGCTATGCATTTCTATACATGTATAGAAGCTTCAGACAAAGTGATTTTCTGGGTAATTGAATATGGATGAACGAATGCGATTTTGATATATAGACAAATTGAAGTTATTTGTTAGACAAGGATATATTATCAAAATATTGCAGAGGAAATCGTTTTCCTGTATAAGATCCGCCCCACCATTCTCAACACATCGATCATGTAAACATTGAAGCATTGGTACATCGTGCATAAATTTTTGTTGTAAAATGCTTTAATTGCCAAAAATTTGAAACTGATCACACTTCTTCCAACAGAAAAGAAAAGTATTCTTGTAAGTTTTCACAAATCTAGCAAAAGTACGAACGAATGACAGACGTGATATTATTTTTAAGAACTATAAATAAAAACAAGAGAGGTAACTCTGACAAGCGAGATACTAGAGAGGTACCAGAGAGGGACTTTCTTTTTTTTTTTTTTAACACCATTCAAAAATCAACATACTCATATAAATTTGCTCCCGTAGTATAAAAAATATTTTTAAAAATCTTACTTGTCATCAGCTAAAATAAACGTTTTAATTGTAAGTATTATATTTATATTTTCTTTAAAAGTATTTTCGAAAGCTCATGGAACTAGTTGCTGTCAAAGTGAAAGAGAAAAAATATATAGAATAAGAAATAGATGCTACATTGAACCAGACTTTCATTTATTTTTTAAATTTTTTTTATTTTTAAATCTGTTACATGTGCATCTATTTATTTTAACATGAAATTATTTTTTAAAATACTTGAATTTTAATTTTTTTCAGTAATAATGATCATAAATTTAAATAAAATGAAATGAAATTTAAAAAATTGTTTCGTCTTATTTTTGTTATTGCCACTTCCGATGTAAGTACTTGAAAACAAACAAAAACTATCGAATGAAATAAAATTGTTCTAATTGTTCTAGCTTAAAAAAAAGTTTACATGTATGTATACCTGATGTGTGTGTGAGAGAGGGAGAGAGAAAGAGAGAGAGGGGGCAGAGAGAGAGAGAGATGTTACATTAAATCCAGTTTATTAATACAATGTGAAATGTGAAACTTTAATGAAAAGGCGAATTTTCAAAAACACAACAATATCGTATTATGAAAAGAAATCTTTATATCTTTTTTTTTCTTTTGCTGTCTATTTATTTTCAGTAACTCGAAAATATAAATTTTGGTACTCGTGTTTTGCATAAAAAAAGTTCAAAGGTTTTAGCTTTATCTGCAGTTTTTAGTCACTTAAAAGTCAAATATATGTAATCTTTGTCATTCATAGAATCTCAGCATTGTATGTCATTACAGTTCTATTATCAATCTAAAACTCGTTTTCTTATTGAAATAATAATCTCAGTTATCGGTTTAGTATGATATTGCTTAACTTGCCGTTGAATTATGTAAACGGGCTGATTTTGTTATTTGGATTTATTGAAATAAATCTTGTTAAGATCAAATTGTATTAAACATGCATTGTACAAATTGAATTAAATGCTAAAAATATACTGCACAAAAGACTAAGAATATGTTTGCAAGTTTTTATTTTTGTGGCAGTGCCGGAGACCGGGGAAGAGGGCCAGGGTCATTTTATATTACCGGGACCTAACTACTTTACAGTGTATCTGTAAAGCTTTACAAGGATAAGCATATCCAATTCTCTGGCATGGGGCCAGAATGGAATTTTTATATTGTAAAACTTCATATACAATAACATTTGAAAACAATAACATTAGAATTTCATACGATAAAGAAGCCGCGAGAAATGGGGGGGGGGGGGATTCTACACACACCATCACATAACAATATTTACACGTACCTAAATGTGTGCCACATCGTAAAAATTTGTCATTTAAAAACTCAGCCAGTCAAGGAATATTATGAACCAGTCGCATTTAAGTGACCGGATATATAAAACTTTCAATTAATTTTTACACCCCCCCCCCCCCCCAGCCGAAAAAATTCTATTTATTAATCTGCATGTCATTGATTCATAACGACAACATATATAATTATAATTATTTATGATTTATTTCTTAGAAAAATCTATTTGATATTAATTTAAAAAAATGACATATTAATTTCATTCAAAGTTCGAATAAAATTTGTTGAAATGACAATAAAATACCCGATATCTATTAATACCCAGTGTATACATGTTCTTCTAAAACCATTTAATTTTACAAAATCAAAGAAAATCGTTTTTCTAGGACGCAGTTTTTCTCATGATTAACTAGATTTGATAGCAGTTAAGTTTCCAGTTCCAGGCATGTGGAGCTCGATCATGATCGCTGTTTGTTTTGAAAATGACCCTGCTCATATACATGTACATAAGGAGAGAGTTCAAGGTGCAGAAATAAATTGAGGAATTATTTCAATATTAATTCAAACCTAATCAAATGACGTATTTGGAGGTTATGGGGTTGGTGGTGGGAAGGCATCCCCCCTGCACACCTAAAATTTAGGAAGATTTTAAAAATACGACAACCCTCGTATGCTATTAAACTCATGTTAACTACAAGTATTGCATGTTTCTATCATTTAACATTTACCCCCCCCCCCCCCAACTCACACACACAATCCAACCATTGGTCATCCTGGATCTGTTCCTTTCATTAATGCATGTGAATTATTATTCATCCATTTGTTTATAATTTGTCAATGCTTATTCAAAATTAATTTTTCAAAAATTTTCCTTGCTGTGACTGAAAAAATGTGTATCATTTCAATTTAAAAAAAGAAGTTTTGTTACCACATGCAGGCAGAAGTCCCTCTGAATTTTTGTTTGAAAATTTTTTATTGAATATTGCTTAACATGCAGTGTATCAACTTAATGTCCTTAAATTGTTGTACAGCGTATACGGTAACTCACTACATTTCACAAATTTTCTGTCTAATTATATTTAGAAAACAAAAACAAACAAAAAAAACAAACAAACAAACAAACAACAACAACAAATTCACTACCCAGCAGCATCTATTTTATTGTTGTTCCCGAGAATTTTTTTTGAAATATTTTTTAACTTCACATTTTGAAAGAGATATCGTTTATACTGGATTCAACCCCCCCCCCCCCCCCAATGACATCTTGTCCTATCGAGAGCCATGCTTAAAATGAGATGATTTTCAAATGAATTCTACAGGTTTCTCTAACGATTATTACACGAGATAAATACTTTGGTTTTGAGAGAATAAATTGATATTGAACAGAAGCCGCTTGCTTCTCGAGTTTTCCTGGCATTCCAGCATAGTGAAATGTAAAACAAACAAACGAACAAACACTCATAATTCTATACACCACTGCATGATGGATAATAGTTAATACAACTATTTATTATCATATTATACAATTATTAAAAGAGACAATGACTCAAAAATGGTTCTGGAAATGCTCAATAACATACATTTATTACCGTAGTAACATTACAATGCAAAGTGAAAGTCATGTTCACTCTGAAAACTTTTGACGTTGGTGCGAAAGTAACATGACGTCATTGTTTACCTGTTAAAGTATCATCGATATAAATGAAGACAAAACCTACTTAGAGTTGACGTAGGGCCATAAAAATTCAGATTTGGCAACTTCTAACCTTGCTCTATTAAAATCCATGAAAAACTTAAAATGTGTAAAAATTGCCATAAGGGCCCTTTTCCCATGGGCGCAATCACTTTTAATTAAACGATATATTTGACACATTGGAATTCAAATCTAATTGCTCATGTCTTGGCTACAACCATTCATGCTAGGTATTCGGGGAGAAACGGAGCTGGATTAAGGGTTATCGTAAATATAAACTAAGAATATATAATTCTGTGGTTCTGTTTTTATATTCAATTGATAAGGAAAGAATCTATTCTTTTTACTTGTTATTTGATACATATATGTTAATCCATTTTGTCTGATTTTCTTTGTTATTTTAATTCAAATGACAAGTTTCTTAAACTCAAATGCATGTATAATTTCGTACTATGTCAAGTTTCAGTCCAAATAGAGAAAATCTCAATAAATAAAGGACCACAATTAGATATATTAGTATGCAAGCATCCTCTTGTGTTGTAGATACAAGCTTGGGTAAGGCCATATTTTACATGTAATTATATATATGGGAAAACATCTTTAAAAATCTTCTTAAGAACATGAACAGCAGGGCTGCAATTAGTCATTTTGAATGTAAGCACCAATCAGCATGTAATTTAGTTTCAGATTTGTTGAGAAATCCCTACATGGTCAAACCATCATGTCTATCTACTTTTCCATGACAGAGCCTGTGATATTATTATATCAGGCTCAGATGAATGATCTTGTGAATAAAAGACGTGGTATAAAAATAAAATCAAACTATTGATAGGAATGGTTTTTAGCCTTCAGTACATGTATATGGTTACCATGGTGATTATAACCTACATCTTTGTCAACATGACAATTATTTTCAATCCAGTTATGAAAATCATTAATGATAAGGTTTTTTTTTTTTAGATTTAAGATTTTCACCTTTGAATTCCCTGAGAGCAGAAATATCAATAACATTTATCTGATTCCTGATTTCTTTATCTGTCAAGCATGTGTTGACTCGGTGACTGACCCGTAATTGTTGGGCAAAGTTTGCGGATACTAATAAAGTTCACTGAACTTGTTGAGTACATGTCGTGTGGAAAGCATAGCTAGTTCATTTAAAGATGAGCATTTACAGACAATGACATGCAACCTCTAGAGATTTTAAAATGCTGTAGAAGAAAATATGTACAACGTAAATTGACTGTAGTTTTTATGGCTAAAGAACAGAGTAGGATAGTAAAATAAAATAATCTGACAATGAAAAAATTTCCGCAGTTTTAATACATTATGAAGAGATATTTATTTTTTAAGCATTGTTATATATGAAATGTGAAGATAATGAACACTGATCAATCTCAATAGTCAATTTAAACAATACAAATTATGAGCAGAGCCAACATGGACCTCTGAAAACAGGTTTGAGAAAGAGAAAGAAAAAAGGAAAAGGGAGAGAGGAGTGCTGTAGGGTGGAGAAGACATAGAAAAATCTTTTTTCTGGTGATTCCTCCAATCCTCCCTCCCTGCCCTAAAAGGAATTTTGCATGGAAATATTCAAGAACCTGTAAATACATGCATGTTGGCACATTCCACAGTGATAGTTATATGTGTTTTGACTGTATTTTTTAGGTGCTGGATTGGCCACTGTGGTGATTTCATTCCTCTTTACCACTTACTACAATGTTATCATTGCCTGGGCCTTCTACTATCTATTCAACTGTTTCCAGGCAGTGCTGCCATGGGTTGGATGTAACCATGACTGGAATTCCCCCAACTGTTGGGATGGCACTACCCATCAGAATTTCACCAATGGAACCACCAATTCCTCCTATGTGGCAGCATCCGTTAAACCAAATGGAAGTATTTCCCCCACAGAAGATTTCTATCAGTGAGAATTATGTACACTACAGAGCTGTTTACTATTACAGAAATTCCATAATTGTCCAGGAATTTAGTTTCAAAATATGGATTAAGGATTGACCTCTAGAAATTACACTTCTGGGATATCTCCAAATTTTATTTGTCATAGATCGTATTAGCTTTAGAAATGAAAAGCACCACTTTATATTCAGACAAAACGGATAATAGTGTAACAATCAAATGTGAGTTATTAAATTATCCTTGCTGATGAAAATTAGATTTATGGTATACATATTGTAGTGCCAGTTCTGAAGAACGTAAACACAAGTAAACTGTTTGCTTTTCCCATCTCTGCAGTTTAACAATGGTTATAAGTTTTGAAGTGTATTAGAGATTTCATTTTTTTTTGGTCAAGGTGAAAGTGAAAGTCAGGGATAGAGTTTCATTTTAGATCAAGATTAATTTTTAGAGTTAATGGTCTGAGTAGCCTGTTTCATAAAAAATCTTAAGTTTTTGCGTAAAATTTTAACATAAGAATATCTTACATGAATTTTAAGTGTTTTTCATAAATGCAATCGTAGCAGAATACAGATTTTTTTTTACGACAAACTTTTCTTAGCAATGATCTCAATTACACTTTATAATCCTTTAAAAAAAAGGAGTTAAGAATAAAAATAAAGCAAAATTTTCAACTCCTGAAAGTAAAACAAACGTTATTGGCAACAAATAGAGAGTGCAATCAGTTGGGAAGCAAGAAATCTGACATCACAAACAAAAGTAGCTAAGGTCATACAGAAATCTTAAGAGTAACTGCCATTTTAAATATTTTGCAAACTACATGTATTTCATTTCGTTTTTGGACAACAGCTAAGAAATATTTTAAAATGCTGTTGTAGTGTGCATAAAAAAGTTCGATTTAACATGTATTTGGTCTTTATCTGTTATATTTTTATGCCCCACCTTGAATATGGCCGGGACATATAGTGTTAATGTCCGTCTTCTGTCCTTCCATCCTTTCATTTGTCCTTCTGTTGCACTTTGCATTTAGCTAAGTTCAAAACTCAATTTCAAAGAAACTATTCAAGATATGAGGGGCATTTGAAAAGTTCTGAGAACTGTCTGATAAAATATTAACCGTTTAACAGTAATTACTTAGTTTGGTATCATTGGACAGATCACAAAAGTATACACTTATTATGACGTCACTTTGTAATTTTTATTACGTAATGACTCCGAAAATGATGTCAGAATCTCGAATGTCTAGCATACTGACCATAAAAATGACGTAACAAGAGACACAATTTCAGTGAAGTAAAATTTTAAAGTCAACTTTTGTTCCTTACTCGGATGCACGCTAACGGACTCAACTACCAGTTGGAAGAATATTTACATAGACTAAAGTCTATCATATGGAGGTCATATTCAGGAACTCTTGTAGTTCTGAGGTGGTTTAAGAGTGTGTCAAATATAGTATGTAATTAATGAATCTCGTGCAAAATATTGGGCAAAAAAGACGATGCTGTGAGAAAAACACAAAGTTTACAATTACAGGAGAATAGTGGACGGTGTTACAAAATTTGCTGGCATTCATTCGTCAGGTGTTATAACTCACCGTAACTCGATATATTTGAAAATTTTAAATCATGGAAAATAAATAAGATTGTACAGGGCAATGAAACTCAGATTTATTTTTTTGAGTCGAAAATCAAAAGCAATAGTGAGTTTTGGATTGCCTAAGTTGAAATAATATGAAAAAATATGCAAAGAAACTTGTCCGGGGGAAGACTTTTGTACGTCTTATTTGTAAACAGAAAGAGTCCTGATACTCAAGATACAATTGTGGAAAACTGCATTATTACAGTTTTATACAGAATATCTTTTGTTTAATACAGTGGAGAGCTATATGATAGACCGAAAATCCAGCTATATCATATAAATAAAAATCTTTTATGAACGCCTAAGATAACATTACTGTGCTTATTAACCAAGCAAAAAACTAAAATATGGAATTGCTGATTTACCGTACCATTTTTACAATCTTACTCTACCTCCATGCACATTTTCTTTGAAATATCTTTCCAAAGAAGCCTTTCACAGCACTTTTTCAATGTTCTCATGTAGACAAAAAACGTGACTTTTCAGTTTGCTAAACATTCGAGATTCTGACGTCATTTTTGGAGCTATTACGTCATAAATATAAGTATATAAGTAAATGACGTTCATATAATTGCAAATTTTCCAGCTCTTTTAAATGATTTAAACTTATTAACTTCTGTGAAATGGTTAATATTTTAGCAAGCAGTTCTCAGAACTTTTCAAATGCCCCTCGTAATTTTATCAATCTTCATATGCTGATACATATTGATAAAACCTATTCAACTGCATCAACATTTTTTGACCTTGATCTTTCCTTTTGACCTTGACCTCACTTTTCTTAAATTAGTGTTTAGCTCAGGTTTTAATAAACCATTCAAGATATTTTTATCAAACTTCATATGCTAATACATACTGATGTAAGCTATTAAACTGCAGCAACATTTTTTGACCTTGACCTTTCCTTTGACCTTGACCTCACTTTTCTTAAATTTGCATTTTGCTCAGTTTTAAAGAATACATTTATATCACATATTTTTATGTAAGCTTATGCACTGATACAATATTTGGTGAAAATTTATTGTCTATATTCATTTCTTTTTAGATTTTAATTTTATAGAAACTTTTTAAGATATTCTCATTAAACTTCATACACTAATACAAATTTTCATGTTGCATTACTAAAATACCTTGGACAGGGCATTCATGTCCTATGGACATATTTCTAGTTATATTGAAACTGGCTCTTAAATACTTACAAGAGGGTTCAAGCTTTTACACTTAAGAAACTATTAAGAACTTTTGTGAAAAGAACAAAATCATAAGTTTTATTTTATGATGAAAATTAATTGTAAGATTTTTGTGCAAAGGTCTACAGAATTTACCCTTACTAGAGTTTTCTATCGATGAGGACACCAATCTCATTGAAGTTCAATCTGTGTACTATACCTTTATATTAATTCCTTTTTGCATACAGAAGTAGAAGCATTGATTTTTCAGAACCTATGTACTAGAAAAGACAAAAGGCATTGAAGAGGTTGGAACCATTAAATGGGAGCTTGCCTTAATCCTGCTCTTGTGTTGGGTGGTTGTATATTTCTGTATATGGAAAGGTCCTAAATCAACTGGAAAGGTGACTATAATCAAATTTCAGAGGATAATCAATTTTTTAGCTCACCTTGATGAAGTCGAGATGAGCTTATGCTACACCCTCGGCTTTGGCGTCGGTGTTAGCATTGGCATCCCAGTTAAAGTTTTAGGAGCAAGTTCCATTCCCAAGTAACTATAAGCCCTACCTGAACCAAACTTGCATGGATAATGCATCTAGGGATGGACACTACCACTTGCTTCGGATGCTGGATCTGACCTAGATTTTCCAGATGAATGACAAGGTTAAAGTTTTTGGAGCAGGTCCATTCCCAAGTGCCAGGTAACTATAAGTCCTACCTGCATGGACCAAACTTGCATGGATGATGCATCTAGGGATGGACACTACCACACTTGCTTCGGATGCTGGATCTGACCTAGATTTTCCAGATGAATGACCAGGTTAAAGTTTTTGGAGCAGGTCCAATCATTCCCAAGTAACTATAAGCCCTATCTGGACCAAACTTGCATGGATGATGCATCCAGGGATGGACATTACCACACTTGCTCCGGATGCTGGATCTGAATTAGATTTTCCAGATGAGTGACTAGAGTAAAGTTTTGTGGAGCAGGTCCATTTCCAGGTAACTTTAAGCCCTACCTTGACCAAACTTGCATGGATGATGCATCCAGGGATGGACATTACCACACTTGCTTCCGATGCTGGATCTGAGCTAGATTTTCCACATGTAAGACCAGGTTTAGATTTTGGAGCAGTCCCGTTTCCAAGTTACTATATGCCCTACCTGGACCAAACGTTCATGGATGATGCATCTAGGAATGTACACTAACCAATCTGCTTTGAATGCTGGATCTGACATAGATTTTCCACATGAATGAATTTTTGCTATATTTCAACCAAATTAGCATGGATGATGTATCTAGGGATGGACACTTCCAGACTTGCTTTGGATTCTGAATCTAACCTACATTGTCCAGATGAGTGACCAGGGTAATTTTTTTTGGAGAAACTTTATAATATTATGGCCTTTTATGATTAAACTTGCATAGATGAAAACTTCCAGACTTGCTTTGGATGTTGGAACTCACCACAATTTTCTTGATTACTAAACAGCTTAAAAGGTTTTTGAGCAGGTCTATTTCCAAGTAAGTATAAGTCCTACTTAAACCAAACTTGCATGGATATTGATCTTGGGATGTACCCTAAATAAAAAAAAAAATTATGTGAAATTTGCTTTAGTTATAGATAACATTAGTCGAGGTGAGCCTCGTAATCTTTGATTACCTATGTTTATTTTAAATGAAAAACACAAACAACATTATTATAATCAATAAAATATCGGGAGAAAACCTGTCTCAGTATTTGAAGATGAAAAAGGTAACATTTGATCTGCTAACTTTGACTTTTAACTGATTTTTAGGTTGTGTATTTCACCGCTACATTTCCCTACTTAGTCCTTGTCACATTATTGGTAAGGGGAGTAACTCTGCCAGGATCTTTAAATGGAATTATGTTCTTCATCAAACCAAAATGGGAGCTCCTTCTGGACCCGAAGGTATTGTCATTTAATACAGTATCATAAAAGTTTATATAGCGTACATGTTTGCTACAGCTTGGCTATTCTCATACATGTTATTACCTCTATCATAAGCTCACAGATATATAATGAAAACATTTCACATTTTTGTTCTATTTAATTTAGGAATTTTTTTTATACAGAAGACTATAAAAAATGAGTAACTTTTTTTTTTTGGGATTTGACGTGCAGCTTTCTTTTACTTAAAAAAAAATGAGTTCAGTTATTTTTTTATTTTCATTTATTTATTTTTATTTTATATATTTATTTTTAGCTCACCTGAGCTGAAAGCTCAAGTGAGCTTTTCTGATCACCCGTTGTCCGTCGTCAGTCCGTCCGTCCGTCTGTAAACTTTTCACATTTTCAACTTCTTCTCAAGAACCACTGGGCCAATTTTAACCAAACTTGGTACAAAGCATCCTTGGGTGAAGGGGAGTTTAAATTGTTAAAATAAAGGGCCAAGCCCCCTTCCAAGGGGAGATAATCAAGAAAAGACAAAAATAGGGTGGGGTCATTAAAAAATCTTCTTCTCAAGAACCACTGGGCCAGAAAAGCTGAAACTTATGTGAAAGCATCCTGGGGTAGTGTAGATTCTAAATTGTTAAAATCATGACCCCCGGGGGTAGGGCGGGGTAACAATAGGGAATCCAAGTTTTACATTGAAAAATGTAGAAAAAATCTTTAAAAATTTTCTTCTCAAGAACCACTGGGCCAGAAAAGCTGAAACTTATGTGGAAGCATCCTTGGGTAGTGTAGATTCTAAATTGTTCAAATCATGACCCCCGGGGGTAGGGCGGGGCCACAATAGGGAATCCAAGTTTTACATTGAAAAATGTAGAGAAAAATCTTTAAAAATCTTCTTCTCAAGAACCACTGGGCCAGAAAAGCTGAAACTTATGTGGAAGCATCCTGGGGTAGTGTAGATTCTAAATTGTTCAAATCATGACCCCCGGGGGTAGGGCGGGGCCACAATAGGGAATCCAAGTTTTACATTGAAATATGTAGAAAAAATCTTTAAAAATTTTCTTCTCAAGAACCACTGGGCCAGAAAAGCTGAAACTTATGTGGAAGCATCCTGGGGTAGTGTAGATTCTAAATTGTTCAAATCATGACCCCTGGGGTAGGGGGGGGCCACAATAGGGAATCCAAGTTTTACATTGAAATATGTAGAAAATATCTTTAAAAATCTTCTTCTCAAGAACCACTGGGCCAGAAAAGCTGAAACATATGTGGAAGCATCCTTGGGTAGTGTAGATTCTAAATTGTTCAAATCATGACCCCTGGGGTAGGGCGGGGCCACAATAGGTATTACAAGGGGGAAATCGGGTGAAAAACAGCAAGGCCAAAGTTACTCAGGTGAGCGTTGTGGCCCATGGGCCTCTTGTTTTGTCATTGCTACTAAAAATTTAAATATTTTAAGGACATTTAAGCCTTTTTAGCTCACCTGAGCCAAAGGCTCAAGTGAGCTTTTCTGATCACATTTTGTCCGTCGTCCGTCCGTCCGTCTGTCTGTCCGTCTGTCTGTCTGTCCGTCCGTCTGTAAACTTTTCACATTTTTGACTTCTTCTCAAGAACCACTGGGCCAATTTTGACCAAACTTGGTACAAAGCATCTTTGGGTGAAGGGGAATTAAAATTGTTAAAATGAAGGGCCAAGTCCCCTCACAAGGGGAGATAATCAAGAAAAGACAAAAATAGGGTGGGGTCATTAAAAAATCTTCTTCTCAAGAACCACAGGGCCAGTAAAGCTGAAACTTATATGGAAGCATCCTGGGGTAGTGTAGATTCTAAATTGTTCAAATCATGACCCCCGGGGGTAGGGCAGGGCCACAATGTGGAATCAATGTTTTACATAGAAATATATAGGAAAAATCTTTAAAAATCTTCTTCTCAAGAACCACTGGGCCAGAAAAGCTGAAACTTATATTGAAGCATCCTGGGGTAGTGTAGAATCTAAATTGTTCAAATCATGACCCCCGGGGGTAGGGCGGGCCACAATAGGGAATCCAAGTTTTACATTGAAATATATAGGAAAAATCTTAAAAAATCTTCTTCTTAAGAACCACTGGGCCAGAAATACTGAAACTTATATGGAAGCATCCTGGGGTAGTGTAGATTATAAATTGTTCAATTCATGACCCCCCGGGGGTAGGGCGGGGCCACAATAGGGAATCCAAGTTTTACATTGAAATATATAGGAAAAATCTTAAAAAATCTTCTTCTCAAGAACCACTGGGCCAGAAAAGCTGAAACTTATATGGAAGCATCCTGGGGTAGTGTAGAATCTAAATTGTTCAAATCATGACCCCCGGGGCTAGGGCGGGGCCACAATAGGGAATCCAAGTTTTACATTGAAATATATAGGAAAAATCTTAAAAAATCTTCTTCTCAAGAACCACTGGGCCAGAAAAGCTGAAACTTATATTGAAGCATCCTGGGGTAGTGTAGAATCTAAGTTGTTCAAATCATGACCCCCGGGGCTAGGGCGGGGCCACAATAGGGAATCCAAGTTTTACATTGAAATATATAGGAAAAATCTTTACAAATCTTCTTCTCAAGAACCACAGGGCCAGAAAAGCTGAAACCTATATGGAAGCATCCTGGGGTAGTGTAGATTATAAATTGTTCAAATCATGACCCCTGGGGGTAGGGCGGGACACAATAGGGAATCCAAGTTTTACATTGAAATATATAAGAAAAATCTTTAAAAATCTTCTTTTCAAGAACCACTGGACCAATAAAGCTGAGACATATTTGGAAGCATCCTGAGGTAGTGTAGATTCTAAATTGTTCAAATCATGACCCCTGGGGGTAGGGCGGGGCCACAATAGGTATATTAAAAGGGGGGAAATCTGGTAAAGAACAGCATGGCCAAAGTTACTCAGGTGAGCGATGTGGCCCATGGGCCTCTTGTTTAAAAGTATTTTTAACTCTGCTACATTTTAAAGGGACATTTTGTTCACTATGTTTATAAACCAATACACAAACAAACAAACAAATCAGCAATTAATCATAACTCATTGTCCATGACTTATTCATTTTTTAAAAAGCCGCTCAGGTTGTATATATGTATTGATTTTTTTTTTTGCGAGAGACATCGAGAGACAACTTCTTTATTTTGTCAACAGGTTTGGGTGAATGCAGCAGCCCAGAACTTCAATTCAATAGGCATAGCTTTCGGTGGCATCATTACAATGTCCAGTTATAACAAATTCCACAATAGAATCATAAAGTAAGTGGGCACAGGGTTTGAAACATAGATGCAAAGTTCATTAACTGTGCAGTGAATGATTGCCACACTATCAAAGTTAAAATGTGGGTATATACATGTATATTGCTCAATATACAGAACATTTCATTCCTTATACTCTAGATCAAAAAAAAAAAAAAAAACAAGAGGCCCATGGGCCACAACGCTCACCTGAATAACTTTGGCCCTGCTGCTCTTCACCAGACGATCTTTTTGTAATACGTATTGTGGCCCCACCCTAACCATGGGGGTCTTGATTCTAACAATTTAAAATCTACACTACCCAAGGATGTTTCCATATAAGTTTCAGCTTTACTGGCCAAGAGGTTCTTGAGGAGAAAATTTTTAAAGATTTTTCCTATATATTTCAATGTAAAACTTGGATTCCCTATTGTGGCCCTGCCCTACCCCCAGGGGTCAAGATTTGAATAGTTTAGAATTTACGCTGCCTCAGGATGCTTCTACAAAAGTCTTAGCTTTCCTGACCAAGTGGTTCTTGAGAAGAAGATTTTTTTTCTATATATTTCAATATAAAAACTTGGATTCCCTATTGTGGCCCCGCCCTTCCCCGGGGGTCATGATTTTAACAAGTTAGAATCTACACTAGCCTAGCATGCTTCCATGTAAGTTTCAGCTTTTCTGGCCCAATGGTTCTTGAGAAGAAGATTTTTAAAGATATTTTCTATGTGTATTTCAATGTAAAATTTGGATTCCCTATTATGGCCCTGCCCTTCCCCTAGGGGACATGATTTTAACAATTTAGAATCTACACTACCCCAGCATGCTTCCACATAAGCTTCAGCTTTTCTGGCCCAGTGGTTCTTGAGAAGAAGATTTTTAAAGATTTTTTCTATATATTTCAATGTAAAACTTGGATTCCCTATTGTAGCCCCGCCCTTCCCCCAGGGGTCATGATTTTAACAATTTAGAATCTACACTACCCCAGGATGCTTCCACATAAGTTTCAGCTTTTCTGGCCCAGTGGTTCTTGAGAAGAAGATTTTTTAATGACCCCACCGTATTTTTGTCTTTTCTTGATTATCTCCCCTTGTAAGGGGGTTTGGCCCTTTATTTTAACAATTTAAACTTCCCTTTACTTAAGGATGCTTTGTACCAAATTTGGTTTAAATTGGCCCAGTGGTTCTTGAGAAGAAGTTGAAAATGTGAAAAGTTTACAGACGGACGGACGGACGGACGATGGACAACGGATGATCAGAAAAGCTCACTTGAGCTTTCAGCTCAGGTGAGCTAAAAAAGCCAGGGATTACATTACATTATAATCTAAATGAGATAAAAAGAAAGGGTAGAATCCATACAAATTTTCAAATCAAGTGCATAAAAAAAGATTGTAACAATTAATGGCTTGGACATGTATTACAAAGTAAATGTTATTTTTTCATATAAAGGAATTTCTTCTATTTTAGTTTAAGATTTAATTTCAAATCTTTGTCTAGTCATAAAAACTGAAATTGTTGGGGTTTATTTTTGTTCTTGCTTGCTTTTTTTTTTTTAAATTAAATTTATTTTGTACAAAAATAAATTTAAATAGCCAATGCAGTTTTTGTTTTCATACAGCATATAAAGTCTAGAAGTAAATAATCTGTGTTTTTTTTTTCATTTGAAAAACTCTTCCCTTCCTTGAATCTTGCATATTTATGGCACCTTAAATGAATAGATGTTAGTATTGCATGAATGGGAATTATATATGAATACTTCATCTTCACACATTAAAACTGGGTAGAGTCTCTTCTCCCAGAAATGATCAGAACTCTCTTTTACTCATTTTGAATCATGTTACACATGAACTTACAAGCAAATATACATTTGATACTTACTGTGAAATCACTCATTTTTGTGGGGGTTTCATTTCCATTGTTTTCGAGGTATGAAGAGATCCTTAAATTCATGTCCACCTTGAAATGTAAATTGTCATATACATAACTATACTCAACAATCCTTCATCCAAGAAATCAAATCCCCATAAACCAATAGTCTTTCCTCAAATCATGAAAATTTGACCCCACGAAAATATGTGATTTTACAGGAGATTGATATAAATTGTATGTCAAATATGAAAATGGACAAAATCAATTGTATGAAATGGCATGGGGCAGACAGTTCACTGTTTATTTACTTCAAGTATTAGGGAATTTGTCATCTGTGAAATAATCTAAAAATCACTGTTTATAGATCTGTAACACATCTTGATATTTTGAGTAGTATACCAAAGTATTTAATCTGAAAGTTGTAAGATGATCTTTGAGTGAGGTGTTTGGTAAAAAATGGCATTATACATCCACAGTTTGCAAATCAGTAATGCAGGGAAAGTAATCAGGGGCAATATTAATGTTCTTCCATCTAAAAAAAAAATCTAGAAGACTTTGAATGCATTTATCCATGATGGATGTGATTGAACACATTTATACCTGGTGGATATTATTAAATACATTTCCTCATTATGAATATGATTGAATACATTTATCCATTATGGATATATTGGATGCATTTTTCATTGAGGGATATGATTGAATATATATATTCATAATGGATATGATTGAACATTTTTCCTTGATGAATATGCTTGAATACATTAATCATGGATGGATATGATTGGATTACTGATCCATGATGGATATGATTGTACATTTTTCCCAGATGAATATGCTTGAATACATTAATCATGGATGGATATGGTTGGATTATTGATCCATGATGGATATGATTGCATGCACAAATTTATTCATGACAGACATCATACATTTATCCATAGCAGATATCATTGAATTGAATACATTTATCCATGATGTATATGATTGCCTGTACATATTTATCCATGTTAGATATGATTGAATACTTTATCCATGGTGAATATGATTTAATAAAATTTATCAATTATGGATATGATTAAATATATCTATGATGGATATGGTTGATTGTATTTAACCTTGATGAATATGATCGAACATTTATCCATTATGGATAGGATTGAACATATTTATCCATGATGAATACAATTGAATACATTAATCCATGATGGATAAGATTGAATACATTTATCTATTTGGATATAACTGAATAATTAATCTATAATGGATATGATTAACATGTTCATCAATTATAGATATGATTAAACACACTTATCCATGATGGATATGATTGATTACATTTATTTATGGTGGATATGAGACTCTGTCATATTTTATTTTCAGGGATGTGCTGGTTATCGCTGTGGTTGACGCTATCACCTGTCTCCTAGCCGGATTCGCTATCTTCTCCATTCTCGGATATCTGGCTGAGAACCAGGGTAAATCTGTGGATGATGTTATACAACAAGGTCTGTATCAATTATATGAAGTTTATAATGAAATCAAGAATCATTTATGTATCATTGATGATTTAATTAGTATGTACATGTAGTTCAACTTCAGTTTTATTAAGCATTAAGGGATGGACAGATGTACATGGCCGTACATACTAGACTTTTATATTCTGATTTGTAATAAACAGCAGTAAAATAGCAAAATACTAGACCTGGTTAAACATTATAATTGTCCTGTACTTTCAAACGATCAAAGGCTGGACTTAAATTTGATGTTGTAGAGCTATAAATTTTTTTTTTCGAAAACTATGCAGCAAATGATCAAATGAAAGGACAAGATAGGCTAAGACCCCTTTTTGGCCCCTGGTTTGGGGTGTCTTTTAGAATGTTGCAACAGTTTATCAATAAAAACCTGTTGTCACCCCTGCCACAAAATGAGTAATGGTTCTAAGTTATGGGATACACAGAGGTCACAGGAAGGTCAGAAAATATGTCAATTTCCGAATTTTCTCATTTTTATGCAAATTTTCATCGAATTTAGAGCAAATTTTGTTTCAGAAAAAATAGAACATAAGTTTGCCTATCTACCAGATTTATATATTTCATACACTAATATCAGATGCATCTTTTGTATAAAAATCTCAGATAGGCAAGCTTGTGCTCTATGTTTCCCGAAGTGAAAAGTATCGCAAATTTGACAAAATTCCACAGAAATTGAGGAAATTCGGGAAAATGTCCTACTTTAGCACCCTCTTGTGCCCTCCATGAAAGCTTTGAATCAAAATTAGTGCTTGTTTAAAATCAAGCATCATCTTAAGTTCTTGACTACAAACTATCAAAATTTTAACTGTGTTCTGATTTTTACATCAAATAAGGGGCCAGATTCGGCCATTACTATACCTTGTCCTTTCAGTTAATTAAATATTCATACTTGATTATGAGACACTTTTTGCATGGCAGCTGCAATGTTTAATATGACTTACTTTTCATACAGTGAAAAATCAGCAAAGTAAAACCATTTGACTCCTAATATTTTTGTTTTCTTCAGGTCCCGGTCTAGTTTTTGTTATTTACCCAGAAGCTTTTACAACTATGCCCGTGCCTCAGCTCTTTGCAGCAGTATTCTTTATCATGTTGATTACACTAGGAGTTGATAGCCAAGTATGTACCTTTACCATGTTAATTACTGAAGAAGCACAAATTTTCATGGGGATAAAATTTCGTTGAATTGTCATCAAAAAAGGTTTCTTGGGCATTAAATTTCATTGTGTTGAAAATAACTGTATTCATTATATATAATCATATAAAAATTTCTTGTAAGATTTAATTTCGTTGATAATTATTAGCAACGAAATAAATGAAATTTAATCCCCAACGAATATTTCTGCTTTTACGGTGTGTTATTTTTATATAGCCATTGAGTAAAATAAAAAAGAAAAATGTCAGGCTCTTATCTGTGTATTATTTCAGAGAAAAATATTCTTTCTTAGAGTGTAAAAACCTTGATTAAAGTTGTAGCTGTATTGATAAAAAAAAATGTCTAGCCAATACTTGAGGTCACAGATGAGAATGAATTGAAATTTAAAGCACACAATATTCATTGATGCATAAGCACTGTGTATAACCTTGAATCAAGATCATATATGTATAGCAAAGGTCAAGGTCATGGTAGCTGTTAAGTGAAAAGTTTGACATTTAATTTAATCAATGATTAATCTCACTCAGTTCATATTTCAAAGGTCAACTTCATTATACTACAAATATTAAGTTAATTTTTTTGTCTGGTACAAATCTTTGAAGTCAGAAAATGAAATAACATTAAGATTTACAAAACTTACCAATTTCCGACTGTTTTATGTAGGTCTTACCTGTCTAAATGATATTTTTGCCCTCCCCAGTTTGCATCAACAGAAGTGATAGTGACAACAATAAATGACCATTTTCATCATCAAGTCAAGAAGTACCTGAAAAGAAAAGAGGTGTTAGTGGCTATAGTCTGTGGTTTTTCTTTTCTCTGTGGGTTGCCAAATGTTACTCAGGTAAGAAATTCAGTGATTGCCACATTTGAAGTACACCTCAACAAAAAGTTTCAAATTAAATACATGTATACCCTACCTGGACCAAACATGGGCTATGTTTAAAATTGTAACAGCTAGTTAGTGTTATGAAGTTGAATGAATGTATAAGCTAGCCCTATTTAGGGATTAATTCATATAGTGCATTTAGCAGACCTAAGTATCTAGCCTAGCAGTTACCCTAGCAGCCACAATCTTGAACATAGTTTATGCAAATATGTCATGATGTGAAGTGGTAACTAGGATACCCAAAGTGAGTGACAAAAAGCGGCCCCGTAAATCAAAGGTTTATCTGTCCAAATGTTCTCAAAAAGAGAGCTTCATTTCTGTAGCTAGCTTTTCCCACATAGTAGCTAGCTGACTAGCATATTGTTCAAGTTTGTAGCTCTGTAGTCTATTTAAGGAATGTTTTTAAGTTTTGTGTGATTTATTGGTGTGTAAATCACACAGACTTGTCATGTAGGCATATTTCATGAAGCGTGCTAGCGCTTCATGAAAAATATGCCTACGTGCAAGTCTGTGTGATTTACACACCAATAAATCACACAAAACTTAAAAACATTCCTTATATTTACATTTTACAAGTTAAAAAGAACCAATAATATACTCAATATTTAAATTTCTTGCTGCCCTATATTGTTACATTTTTATTAACGTCTCCGTAGCCTCATTGTGACGTCACTTTAGCGCGAGTTTCACCGTGTATATTTCGTGTGAGTATACACAAAAATGACTTTCAAATCAATTTCACAGTTGGCTTAGTAGAAAAACACAGCAAATGTAAATATATGATATTGAATGCACCCGGTTTAAGTCTTCAGCAGATCTTAAAGGCTTACTTGGACCATGTATGATGCATCGAGGAATCTGTATTTTGTAGATATTAATTGAAAGGCATTAATGAAGAACATTTTCCATTTTTTTTAGAGAAAGTCCTTGTCATGTCCGTCTGTCTTTCCGTCACACTTTGCGTTTAGCTCTGTTCAAAGCTCAGTTTCAGAGAACTATCCAAGATATTTTTATCAAACTTCATATGCTGATAGATATTGATGAAGGCTATGCAACTGCATAAACATTTTTTTACCTTGACCTTTCCTTTGACCTTGACCTCACTTTTCTTAAATCAGTGTTTAGCTCTGTTTTAAAGATACCATTCAAGATAGTGTAATCAAACTTCATATGTTGATACATACTGATGTAAGCTTTTCAACTGCATCAGCATTTTTTGACCGTGACCTTTCTTTTGACCTTGACATCACTTTTCTTCAATTAGTGTTTAGCTCAGTTTTAAAGATACCATTCAAGATAGTGTAATCAAACTTCATATGTAGATACATACTGATGTAAGCTTTTCAACCGCATCAACATTTTTTGACCTTGACCTTTCTTTTTAACCTAGACCTCACTTTCCTTCAATTAGTGTTTTGCTCAGTAACAATGAAATCATTCAAGATATTTTTATCAAACTTCATATGCTGATACATACTGGTTAGAGCTATTCAACTGCATCAATATTTTTTGACCTTCACCTTTCCTTTGACCTTGACCTCACTTTTCTTAAATTTGTGTTTAACTCAGTTTTAAAGAAACCATTCAATATAATGTTGTCAAACTTCATATGGTGATACATATTGATGAGAGCTATTCAACTGCATCAACATTTTTTGACCTTTACCTTTCCTTTGACCTTGACCTCACTTTTCTTAAATTAGTGTCAAACTTCATATGCTGATACATGCTGGTGTAAGCTATTAAACTGCATCAGTATTTTTGGACCTTGACCTTTCCTTTGACCTTGACCTCACTTTTCTCAATTTGTGTTAAACTCAGTTTTAAAGAAACCATTCATAAAATTTTTTATCAAACTTCATATGCTGATGTAACTTCATCATACTGATGTAACCTTTTCAACTGCATCAACATTTTTTGACCTTGACCTTTCCTTTGACCATAACTTCATTTAAGAAATAAATAACAAGATGGGAATTGAAGTGGGTCGGTCACGTGATCAAATTCTGTGAAGGCCGAAGGCCTTCTCAGAAGATTTGATCACGTACCGACCCACTTCAATTCCCATTGAAGTTTTTTAACTTGTTATTTATTACTTATATATACATTTGAGACGGACAATCGAATGTAATCGAATATAAATATTGCACTAACTGTACGTCGTAGATTTTGACAAATTACGCTAGGTGTAAATCGGCTTGAAAAGCGGTTACACTTCAAATTCATCTGGCAAAGGATTGTTTTGTAGGGAATATTCTGTGAAAGGCTTCTTGTGATCAATTATTATAGTGAGCATATTGGTGTCTGGGAATTTTTGGATTCATGAGAACCCATATTCGATGTTAAAAAAACACAAGAAACACGTCCGATGTTTGATACTAAAAAGTTGGAGGAATTTCGGTCGGAAACGGATGGATGGAGACACTTGTCCGGACCAGATAACTTGAAATCAAGTACAAAATTTGATCAAAAACAGAAAATGTACGATTTCAGTAAGGCATATTTATTAATTTATGATGTTGACATGGAGACACTGGCGACAGCTTACATTGTTAAGACAACGTCACAACGATCTCGATGATGGAGGTGTGCCTACCGAACTTCCAAAGTGCAGTGTTTGTTAGCTGTTTGTGGCGTGATTGCATTACATTGATATTTTTCAACAGATTTTCAAATTTATTGTGAGTAAAGTTTAATGGGAAAAAAATTATAGCATTCAGAGGTCTGCGAGAAAAATAAGGGTAAACGTTGAGACTATGCAGCTCAGACATGAAACTTATAACACGTAGTTTTCTATTTTCTATATAAAATCGATCAAGAACTGTATTAAATACTCGTTTACATTGTAAATAAAATGATTATTATTTTACTTGCGTATTTTGTACATTTTTATGCATGAAAAACTTGCTATATTGCTTAGTGGAGTAAGTCTTTAATATGTAGATATTACTGCGCTGTGTGATTAGGTCACGTAATGACCTATGACCTTCGAAAAACTTCATACAGGTATGAAGATATTTGCTCTCTGGATGTTTATATAATAGAGAGATACCACAAATGTATATATTTATTTTTAATTAGTGTTTAGCTCAGTTTTTAATAAACCATTCAAAAACCATTCAGAATGTTTTTATCAAACTTAATATGCTGATACGTATTTGTGAGAACTATTCAACTGCATCAAAAACGGTTGACCTTGAACTTTCCTATGACCTTGACCTCACTTTTCTTAAATTTGCATTTTGGTTAATTTTAAAGAAACCATTTAAGATATATTTATGTAAGCTTATGCACTAATACATAATTTGGTAAAAATTTATCATCTATATGCAACTTTTTAGATTTCAATTTCAATTTTAAAGAAACCATTCAAGATATTCTCATCAAATTTCATACACTAATACAAATTTTCATTTTGCATTACTAATATACCCTCGGCGGGGCATTCATGTCCTATGGACATATTTCTAGTTTAGTGTATAAAAAGATAAAGCAGTTTATTGTTCAGTGTATATAGGGTGATTTTACACTCTTTGTTTTATTTTTAGGGAGGATATTACTTTTTTTCACTGATTGATCATTATGCAGCAGCTGTGTCACTCATGTATCTGGCATTTTTCGAAGTCATTGCAATCACCTGGTTCTATGGTAAGTGTTCAATTCAAATTATACTGATTTATACTGAGTAAATTGTAACAGGACTTCCAATTTTTGTTTCTAGAGAAGCACTATATTCTGAAACTGGATGGGAAACATTAAAAGCCAGGCGATATATTGCAAAAATGTCAACTATGTTCAAAATTCACACGGGAAGATACCTGAATATTTGCACAATATTGTCCCCAGTAAACGTGAACATGTATCAACATACAATACTCGTAATAAAGAAGATTATGTTGTTCCGAGATGCAGATTAGAATTATTTAGGAATTCCTTCATACCCAATGCTATAAAACAATGGAATTTACTAAAAATAGAGGTTAGGGAAGCCATCTCAATTAATTCATTCCGAAAAAAACTTGGTAGGAAAACTGAAAAATCCACCATCATACTTTTCCTATGGAAAGCAATACATCAATATCATTCATACTAAGCTAAGACATTATTGTATACTAAACTATGATTTATATAAAGGAAATATTATTAATAGTCCTTCGTGTTCATGCGGAAAACGCGAAGATGTGTACCATTTCTTTTTTGCATGCAAAAATTATTACAATGCTAGAAATACTCTTTTCAATCGCTTGTTCATGCTTGAATTGGTCACTATTGATTTAAACCTATTACTATATGGTGATGAAAATCTGCCTTTACAGATAAATAACTTTTTTTTTCTGCTGTTCATAAATTTATTGATGAAACATGTAGATTTTCTTAGTTGATATGTTAAATTTTATTTGTATCATTTATATTATTTTTCTTTAATTTGCATGACATACTGTATTATATAAGGAGAGGAACTAGTAAGTTATTTTAGAACTTGTTTCCAATCCTTTTGATTTAATCAATAAAATATGTTCAAAACAAAAAACTGAGTAAATCTGAAATCCTGAGATTTACACATATTTTTTTCTGTAAAAATGTGGTTAAAGAAATACAGCTGAACTTCGGTATCTCAGGCACTGATATCTCGAATACCATGGATATGTCGAAGTGATTTTGAAGTCCCAATTGCTTATTCCTTAAGTAAATAACCCTGGATGTCTTGAACCCTCGGATATCTCAAAGTATTTTCTCGGTCCCATTGGGTTTCAGATTACGAGTTTTGACTGTATATACTATATATATGGTGGGGAAAAAAATTGAACAAGATTCCCTTTGATTTAGTAATCAATTGCTTGTATTTTAGGTGCTCGCCGCTTGGGTAGAAATGTCAGGGAAATGAATGGCAGCCCACCTAATGTTTTCTTCATTGTATGTTGGTACTTTATCTCGCCAGTGTTCATTTTTGTAAGTTGTCATTAGATACATGAATTTGACAGGATAATATCTTGTTAAAAATTCTTAATATATTTCACTGCATATTACTGAAAAAACAATCTACAATTATTTCAAGTCAAAGCTCTGTCTAGTTACTTTATTGAATATAAACAGATGTATTTTTTATCCACAGGGTATATGGTTGTTCAGCATGATTAGCTACCGTCCATTTCAGCTGGATGATTATCAGTACCCCATCTGGGCAACAGTACTTGGGTGGTTTATAGCAGCCTTGTCTGTGCTCTGTGTTCCCATAGGAATGATTCACTCTATCTATCAGGCCAAGGGAAACAACTTGTGGCAGGTAAGTTTATTTCCCTGTAAGGTTATGGCTTGTGCCATGTATCATATCAAGAATTTTTGACATTGTTTACACACTGTAGAGAAAAATTTTGCTCTATACCATAGGAGCTGGTGGCTTTGGCTTTGCTATCAGTGATGAGTTGATATGCTGGCCTTGTTAACTTTCCTGTAGGTGATGATTTGATATACTGACCTTGTTAACTTTTCAGTAGGTGATGATTTGATATACTGACCTTGTTAACTTTTCAGTAGGTGATGATTTGATATGCTGGCCTTGTTAACTTTTCAGTAGGTGATGATTTGATATACTGACCTTGTTAACTTTTCAGTAGGTGATGATTTGATATGCTGACCTTGTTAACTTTTCAGTAGGTGATGATTTGATATGCTGGCCTTGTTAACTTTTCAGTAGGTGATGATTTGATATACTGACCTTGTTAACTTTTCAGTAGGTGATGATTTGATATACTGACCTTGTTAACTTTTCAGTAGGTGATGATTTGATATACTGACCTTGTTAACTTTTCAGTAGGTGATGATTTGATATACTGACCTTGTTAACTTTTCAGTAGGTGATGATTTGATATGCTGGCCTTGTTAACTTTTCAGTAGGTGATGATTTGATATGCTGGCCTTGTTAACTTTCCTGTAGGTGATGATTTGATATAGTGGCCTTGTTAACTTTCCTGTAGGTGATGGTTTGATATACTGACCTTGTTAACTTTCCTGTAGGTGATGATTTGATATGCTGGCCTTGTTAACTTTTCAGTAGGTGATGATTTGATATGCTGGCTTTGTTAACTTTTCAGTAGGTGATGATTTGATATGCTGGCCTTGTTAACTTTCCTGTAGGTGATGATTTGATATAGTGGCTTTGTTAACTTTCCTGTAGGTGATGGTTTGATATACTGGCCTTGTTAACTTTTCAGTAGGTGATGATTTGATATGCTGGCCTTGTTAACTTCTCAGTAGGTGAAGATTTGATATGCTGGCTTTGTTAACTTTTCAGTAGGTGATGATTTGATATGCTGGCCTTGTTAACTTTTCAGTAGGTGATGATTTGATATGCTGGCCTTGTTAACTTTCCTGTAGGTGATGATTTGATATAGTGGCCTTGTTAACTTTCCTGTAGGTGATGATTTGATATACTGGCCTTGTTAACTTTTCAGTAGGTGATGATTTGATATGCTGGCCTTGTTAACTTTTCAGTAGGTGATGATTTGATATGCTGGCTTTGTTAACTTTCCTGTAGGTGATGATTTGATATAGTGGCCTTGTTAACTTTTCAGTAGGTGATGATTTGATATGCTGGCCTTGTTAACTTTTCAGTAGGTAATGATTTGATACATGTATGCTGGTCTTGATATCTTTCCTGTAGGTGATGATTTGATATAGTGGCCTTGTTAACTTTTCAGTAGGTGATGATTTGATATGCTGGCTTTGTTAACTTTCCCGTGGGTGATGATTTGATATGCTGACCTTGTTAACTTTCCTGTAGGTGATGATTTAATATGCTGACCTTGTTAACTTTTCAGTAGGTAATGATTTGATACATGTATGCTGGTCTTGATATCTTTCCTGTAGGTGATGATTTCACATACTGGCCTTAATAACTTTCCTGTAGGTGATTATTTGATATGTTGGTCTTGTTAACTTTCCCGTGGGTGATGGTTTGATATGCTGCCTTGTTAATTTTCCTGTAGGTGATGATTTGATATGCTGCCTTGTTAATTTTCCTGTAGGTGATGATTTGATATGCTGGCCTTGTTAACTTTCCAGTAGGTGATGAATTTACCCGGTATATGCTGCCTTGTAAGCATTGCTGTTGATGTTTCACTAAATTTGATATACTGCCCTCGTTAGGTTTTCTGTCATTGGCAGTTAGATATGTTTGCCTTGTTGGCTTTTGTGTCATGGCATTTCTTAGCTATGTTAAGGAAGTGTGAACCCAGGCCTTCCTTAATGAAGCTGAGTATGAGCATTCTATTTGTTGTTAATTTGATATGCTTGCCTCATTAGTCTTGTGGAGGAAAATGATAAGTCTTATTAAACTGTCAGTCTTTATAAGGATAGGACAAAACAGGCTGTACAAATTTCTCAACTTTGATCCTTCGATTTTTTTTCACATATCCACAAAACCCTTTCTTCCCATCATTGTGATGGCTAGTCTAGTTGTTACCTAAAAGTTGTTTACTTTTTTTACAGAAATTGAGAAACTCCATTGTGTCACCATTAGAAGAACATACAGATGCCTCATATCCGAGTCTGAGTAATGGAGACATGGTTCTTCATGTCAATGCAGAGAAAAAGGAACCTCTTCAACCATATTAAATTTAATATTAATCTGAGAAATTAGGGTAATTGTAAGAATAAGGCATAATAATATTTGTTGTACTGAACCATTGTTTTATACCAATTTTTGTCAATTTTTTTTTTCTTTGTTTTATTATGTACATTTCAAATAGGGGTGAAAATTTCACTATTAAGTTGTACATAGTGGACTTATCAAATTATCGAGGATTAAGCAGATGTAAGGACATTTGAATATCAAGTAGAACCATGCAATTTGAATGATCATAACATACATTCTTTTCTTTTGTTCCCCCTTTTTGATGACTCAAAAACAGTGCTGTCTAGTTCAAAGACAAAACCTGTGTTAAATATGCTTGAAATGAAAACAGGTAATCATTTCAAGTGAATGAGGGCATAAATATCACAGAAAAAACATGAATTTACTCCATTCCTGAACTTCTTCAATTTTCTTAAATTTTCATTAATTTCATGCATTGCCAACATTTTGTTTATGAAAACCTGTCTTGATAAATTGATAAATTACATATTGGGAAAAATCAGTCAAATTTCTAAGACATCACCTCTTTTGTGATGCTGCAAATGAAAATAATTATTGGTTCTGAAGCATGTAGGCCTATGACTTTAAATTCTTCATTAGGAACATAAAAAAATTTCACCCATGTTTTGAATTTTATGTCAGATGTGGGGCCAGTACTTACTATGCTGTTGAGTTGTTCCTAGTTTAAATAAGAACTACAATTTTTTGTTGGTTTTTTTTTTCATACATATAGTTTTCTCCTGAATTCTGAAAAAGCATGTATATTTAGTTATTGAGAAAAATAGTTTTAAAAAAAGTTTTACAGTAAAACTCGGTTATATAGAACTCACTTATAAGGAAATCTTGATTATAAGGAACTTTTTATGAATCTCAAAGAGATCTTTTCACTATTTTCTTATATGGATATAAAGAACCTCAGTTATAAGGAAGGAGAATTTGAGGTCCCAGTGACTTCCTTATAACTAAGTTTTACTGTATTTAGATTGCATTTTAAATTGAATGAATTGAAGAATAACGAGGATGCATGTTTTGTGACTTCGTACATGTAATAAATAATGTAATATACTTCTCACGATTTTACTTTGTGGTTTTTTTAGGAAGAAAACTATAGCATTGTTGACATTTTTTTCAGAATACCATGAATTTTAGAACATTGTACGTAGAAGATTTAAAGCAGTTATAGTGTGTGTTATTGTATTTTGTTTTTCATTGATAAGCCAGGCAATTTAAGCTGTATGGTGATTGTAGATCTTTTATTAGCACTTTATTATTGATTAAAATCATTTGTGTAATATACAGGCACACAAAGAACATAGCAATATGTTGATGAAACTTGAAAAAAAAAGTTTTGTGACTATGCAGGCATTCAAATGTTTGGAAAAGCATTGTGATATTTTTTTCTATTTAGGAATTTTTTTTAGATACCAGTATTTAAAAGTTAATTTTATAGTCTTTTTTTTTTAATGAAAAGGACTTGTGTACAGGAATGCATAAGCAGAAATATTATATACTGAAGTATGGTGTAAAAACTTGTGTTATCATATGACCAGAATGACATTCCATTGGTCAGTAGGATACTTGACCTCCTCCAGTCCTGGGATGAAGGTACCCCGGTCCTGGGGTGAAGGTACTTGATCTGCCCCAGTCCTGGGGTGGAGGTGAATGTACTTGATTTGCCCCCTAGTCCTGGGGTGGCTTTTTAATTATTTATCTACCATAAGTTGTAGAAATCTGATACAATAAGCTGGTCTTGCACTATTTTTAAATTACAATTTATATTCATTAGAATTTTATTGAAGCATGTACAAGTACATGTACTGTTTGAATTTTTAACAACTCCTTTTACAATGTTGTGTGTCTTGTGAAAGAAAAGAAGAATGAAGAGATTTAAAAGAAAAATGGATTATTGTTTTATTTATGTTTGTGCCAGTGCAAAGTTAGACAATGTTTAAAAAAATGGATTAAGGAAGCTGTAAACACTGCATACCAAAGAGTTCTAATATTGAAGGCTACCTTCATGTAGCTAGAGTGGTCTGACCTTAAGGACATTGGCCAAGTCAGGGCTTTCCGGAGAAAAAAGGTTTAATACATGGGTTTTTTCACTTGTAAAATAGTGATTAAGAGTGATCTCCCGTGTAGAATTCTCTAAGCGGTGAAAACCAATAAAACGTATGTTATAGAGGTAAACAAAAGCACGTGTACTTCTTCAACGGGTAGAATCATCTATACAGCAAGAAAGAAAAGTAGTAATGGTTTTGTTGTACATTGTATTCAGGGACAAAGAGCAAACAGGTCGTCATTTACCATAGTTATGCTCAGTATGCTGGGAAGGGCATAGATGTGACATGCTGACAGGTAGGTCGACCATGCCGACTGAGAACAGTTCTTAGGTCGTGTGAAGGAATCAGCATTTAGTAATTACGAATAAAAGTTAAAAATAAATCCATGCCAATATTTTTATGACAATGTGTTTCAATCAATTCAGTCAATTACATGATAAAAACAACCAACCAGTCTCTTGACCAATTTTAGCTGTTAAGGGACGCAACTCAAAAATGATGATCGGTGCCGGTATATCCATGTCTTGTTTCTGTATATACATTTTCAACCAAAATATCTAGAAGTCATAGGAAATGAAGTTACAATAATGTATATAATACAAAAACTGTATGAAATAAATGTGTTTTGAAGAAATATTATGGTGAAAAATTATGTAGGTCCCTTTTATCAACATTTTACATAGGAAATGCATTACGAATTGTAAAAACACTAATTTGACAAAATCTAAAAAAGAATGCTGGATTGGTAGGTAAAACGATCCAGAATATAGCCTATTTAGTACATTTAAACCTACTCAAAAGTTCTTGAAAAATTCTATACAATAACCAGGAACCTTGCCAATGTCCTTAAGAGCAAGATAGCATACATGGGAATCTACATTTAATGACATAATTTATAATGGATTAATAAAGTATTTTTAACACTTATTCAATAATTAGACCAAAGGTAACTGAATACATTATTTCCATTAATTTTCCCAGTGTAAGTAAACAATGCAGATTTATGTTCACAGATAGTTCATTGTCTTTAAACAATTGGGGGGGGGGGGGGGGGGGGGAGATAAGGCAGGTACCCTATGTAGAAAATGTAACTAGATACACTCAATATGTACACCTTTATATGACATATTTTTCTCAAAGTCTAAAAAGCACTTTTCACTGGTGTTAAGAGCTTCCTTAAACAGATTTTAAAATAAATGTGGAGACTATCATCTAAAATAAGGCAAATTCTCTTACTTAATGAGTTTTTAATTGGGTTGTTAACTTAATCATTTTGAGAGTACATAAACGCCCATTTGGAATTTTTAAACAATTCAGTCTAAATCTGCACTGGTAGTAAGCATTCCTGTATGTGTTTAGTTCAGGCTGGGCTTGTACCTTTGAAATGGATCTGCTTCAAGAACTTCAACTAATTCATCAGTCTAGAACACTGTGCTCAAATGCAGCAATTAAGAAGTGCACATCTCTTGGATGTATGACCCATGTAAATTACCTCCAAAATGGAGACATAATTTAAGGGAATGAAAATAAAACCCTATCATAAGAAATATAGGTCATGTGCAGTATCTTGTATAAGGCTGTTTATAGTTTTATGAATGGACATCAATGAATATTTGAATATTCAAATATTCCTTTGATGAGTTGATATTGGAATGCAAATTTATGATTCAAACATGAACACATGAATTTTTTTTTTAGCTCACCTGGCCCATTAGGCCAAGTTAACCTATGCCTTCACTTGGTGTCATCACTGTTCATTGTCTTCATAAACTTTTTCAAAAATGTTCCCCTCTGAAACTACTGGGGAGATTTTTCTGAAGCTGTATTATGCCCCGCCATGAATATGGCTGGGGCATAAAGTGTTTGTCATGCCCATCTTCCATCACACTTTCCGTTTACCTCATGCAGTTTCAAAGTAACTATTCAAGACATCTTTATCAAACTTTAGATGCTGATGCATATTGATGAGCATTCTTCAACTGCATCAACAATTTTTGACCTTGACCCTCCCTGTAACCTTGTCCTCACTTTTCCTAAATAAGTGTTAAGCTGAGTTTCAAAGATTCTAAACAAACTTTATATGTTGATACATACTGATGAGAACGATTCAACTTCATCAACATTTTTTGACCTTGACATTTCTTTTGACTCTGAATTTGCTTTTCTTAAATCTGTGTTTAGCTAGATTTCAAAGATCTTTTCAAGATATTTTATCAAAACTTCATATGCTGATGAGAGCTATTCAACTGCATCAACATTTTTTAGCATTGATCTTTCCTTTGACCTCACTTTCTCAAATTAGTGATTATATCAATTTAAAAGAAACTGAAGTTATTTTTATCAAACCTTATATGCTTATACAAGCTGTTCAACAGCATCAATGTGTTTTGCCTTGACCTTTCCTTAGACCTTGACCTCACTTTTCTTAAAATAGTATTAAGCTCAGTTTCAAAGAAACTATCAAAGATATTTTAATCAAACCCAATATGCTAATACACATTTGTGAGAGCTATTCAACTGCATCAACATTTTGACCTTGACCTTTCCTTTGACTTAAAATTTGTGTGTAGCTAAATTTCAAAGAGACTATTTCATATATTTTTATCAAAATTTATATGCTTATACATATTGATGAGAGTATTCAATGGCATCAACATTTTTGACCTCAAGTTGCGTTTCCTTTTATATTGACCTCACTTTTTTCAAATTTGTGTTTAGCTCAGTTTCAAAGAAATATTGATTTCAGATTTTTTTATGTAATCTTATACATTGATGCATATTTGGTGAGAATTTATCAACTGTGTCCGTTTTTTTTTACCTTGACCTTTCCAATGACCTTTGACTTTATTATTTATTGTGTATTAAATTTCGGTTTTAAAGAAACTATTCAAGATGTTTCCATCAAACTTTATGCACTAATACAAATTTTAATATTGCATTACTAATGGACCCAGGGTTGGACATTCATGTCCTATGGACATAGAAGAAATGGTATGGGGCATGTCCTCTATAAAAGCTCCGTATTTTTTTATTTTGAACTTATCAAAACATAAGGCCATTCTTACTATATATAGAACATAGGAGAGAAAGATACACAGTTTTTTGCATATTACTCGGACATTGATGCAGATAAGCAAAATCTTGGAGGTGGAAATAATCAGGATGGCAAGATCTAGCTACCAAGCAAGTTTCATTGAAATCTGTTCACCTATCTTGAAGTTGTGGCCCCTGATATGCCAAGTTCTCCTGATTCTGCAGTTGTAGCATAAACATTTTCAAAAATCTTCTCCTCTGAAACTACTTTTCCTCACCAATTTTACTTCCAAATACTGATACAAAACCTGTCACTACCTGAGGGTAGGTTGATTAATGTATTTGAAATAATTTAGAACTTATTTTATTTTATCAAATATTTGAATACATGTATATTCAAATACTCTTGAATATTTGACTTTGAATCATTGACAAATTTGACATCCTTAGTTTTGTGTCATCCATTTATTATTGGTCATTATACAGCTTGATCCTATTTGCTCAATCATTAAATAAAAGTCACAGCTTTACCATTTAAGGAATATTTGTAATAATGCACATCAGTATAAATTTTGGATTACTGGGGAGTGGATCCAAGATTTCCAGTTGAAGGGCTGGGGGGTTACAAACTTTTAAAAGTAAATGAATACAGAAAATCACAATGTATTAATATGGGCTGAATAGCATGTTTTATCAAGACTTTCCTTAATTTAAGAAATTATAGAGAGGCACACCTCCCTCCAGGGGTTGTATAAAGAAGATGGGCGTGTTTGGCGTGTGATCTGCAGGAATAAGGCGTACGAAACATTTATAGTTTAAATGTCTACGATTTGGTCGGCTGACCACAGCTGGACACACTTTACAAAGTTACGCACATGGGAAAATGTTATATTTAGTTTGAAAAACTGTGTCGAATTTAATATATCAGTCCGCTTATCTTAATAATTACTACATGTAAAACTTAGTAACGCTTCACATAAGTAATAAACACCTATGGGGTATAGTTAAATGCAATTACATGTATATATTAAAGTGTCAGTAGGTTGGAAAAATTGCTTTCACTTTCGGTGCAACAGAACCAGAATTTATCTATTTGAAAATAAATCAGTACACAAAATTAAACTGACAAAAGAATTGATTGTTTGTACTAAAAAAAATATTAACGCTCCGTGCGAGGATCGAACCAAAAATATGTATTTTTCATTGCACTGGACGGGTTACGCATACTACTGAGCTATCACCACTCCACACGCTTATGGTGTTTTTAAAGCGACAATGAAGCACCGCATTTACACGTTGGAATTTTTTTGGAAAAAGTTCATTTTTTATTGTCTCTGGGTCTTCTCTCCATTTTTTACAAATATTTGTTCGTTTCTTTGAATTAAAATGCACACAAATAACGTTCCAAAATCATGGAGAGATGAAAATGTAACATTTTGTACCAAATGACTCATCTAGCCAATTTTCAAGTTCTTTTTTAGCAAATCAAAATACAATAGCGGGAAAATATTTCCATTTCCTATTTCACAGGAACCCAATACAGCAAAAGAATGCTAAAATTTTATGTGACAGATCAATGAAATTTTTACTTTTCAAGTGCGCCCAGATTCCTGCCGAATGTCAATCAAAAGCGCCCTCGTTCTTTATGAATGGTTTGAGGAGCATGTATGATGTAGTTTTATGGTACATGTATTTACAATTAGTATGAAGGTCTTATCGATTAGCACCAAAATATTTAGCAGTATTGATTCCTGTATGGATGATGCATCAGATGATTTGGCTTCAGATTATGCAACTGACAATGATTTTCTGGATGAATAACCAGGTTATATTATTGGGAGCCATCCATTTCCTAAATAACTACAAAGTTCTACTTGGATTAAACTTGCATGGATGAATCACACATCTGAGGCAGCATCTAACCTTTGGTGGCCAAACACTCAGGCTGGTCTATTCTGTAGTCAAAGCAGCAAGAATGATGCATGCATCTAGGGATGCACTCCATTAAAATTGCATCAAATGCTTTATGTGTAAATTACTAGGGCCTAGCAAGAAAGCAGCCTATGATAGGGAAAAACTCTAGGCATGTTATTGATGGTGAAGTATGAGACTTTGATGCACATTACAGGTTGGCTATCCTCAAAAGTGATCTTTAATCGTATGATTTTTCATGTCAACTCATACTTGAACAGTAACAAAACTACCAGATCTGACTTTATAGTTTTTTGAAATGTCTTATAGCAGTCAGTAAAAATGCTTAACTTCATTGCTTATAGGGAAAACTGATATTTTTAAACTGTAGGTCATAGGTCAAGGTCACCATGTCAGCAAATCCAGGATTAATCTCAGGAGCAATGAACATACTTATTATCAAACCTCTTTCTTTTTCCATTTAAAGGATAGAGAGCAATGTTGATTTCTTTGTAGTTTTGTGAGGTCAGTATATATGTTATGATTCTAGATCATACAAGTCAGCAGATGACCCATTGGTATTTATTTTCATTCATTATTGTGTTTTGTCCATAAATTTAAGGATTTTCAGCATCACTGATCCCCTTGCCAAGGCTTGGGCACAGAAAACACAACTCACTGTATAAAAATCATATCCAACCACAAACCATGGGAGATTCTTGTCATGCTTTAATAGCTATCTCATTTTTTACACAGTTTTTGTATTACATGTATATGAATCCACTTGATATGACTTCATCATTTTTATGTAAAAGCCATTGTGATGTCACAACTGTTGATATGAAAACAGTATCATTTGACTGATGTCCACTGTATAAAAGATAACAAGAGGCCCATGGGCCACATCGCTCACCTGAGTAACTTTGGCTTTGCTCTTCTTTACCAGATTTCCCCCTTTTAATATACCTATTGTGGCCCCGCCCTACCCCCGGGGGTCATGATCTGAACAATTTAGAATCTACACTACCCCAGGATGCTTCCATATAAGTTTCAGCTTTTCTGGCCCAGTGGTTCTTGAGAAGAAGATTTTTAAAGATTTTTCCTATATATTTCAATGTAAAACTTGGATTCCCTATTGTGGCCCCGCCCTACCCCCGGGGGTCATGATCTGAACAATTTAGAATCTACACTACCCCAGGATGCTTCCATATAAGTTTCAGCTTTTCTGGCCCAGTGGTTCTTGAGAAGAAGATTTTTAAAGATTTTTCTCATATATTTCAATGTAAAACTTGGATTCCCTATTGTGGCCCCGCCCTACCCCCGGGGGTCATGATCTGAACAATTTAGAATCTACACTACCCCAGGATGCTTCCATATAAGTTTCAGCTTTTCTGGCCCAGTGGTTCTTGAGAAGAAGATTTTTTAAGATTTTTCTTATATATTTCAATGTAAAACTTGGATTCCCTATTGTGGCCCCGCCCTACCCCCGGGGGTCATGATCTGAACAATTTAGAATCTACACTACCCCAGGATGCTTCCATATAAGTTTCAGCTTTTCTGGCCCAGTGGTTCTTGAGAAGAAGATTTTTAAAGATTTTTCTTATATATTTCAATGTAAAACTTGGATTTTCCTATTGTGGCCCCGCCCTACCCCCGGGGGTCATGATTTGAACAATTTAGAATCTACACTACCCCAGGATGCTTCCATATAAGTTTCAGCTTTTCTGGCCCAGTGGTTCTTGAGAAGAAGATTTTTTAAGATTTTTCCTATATATTTCAATGTAAAACTTGGATTCCCTATTGTGGCCCCACCCTACCCCTGGGGGTCATGATCTGAACAATTTAGAATCTACACTACCCCAGGATGCTTCCATATAAGTTTCAGCTTTTCTGGCCCAGTGGTTCTTGAGAAGAAGATTTTTAAAGATTTTTCTTATATATTTCAATGTAAAACTTGGATTCCCTATTGTGGCCCCGCCCTACCCCCGGGGGTCATGATCTGAACAATTTAGAATCTACACTACCCCAGGATGCTTCCATATAAGTTTCAGCTTTTCTGGCCCAGTGGTTCTTGAGAAGAAGATTTTTAAAGATTTTTCTTATATATTTCAATGTAAAACTTGGATTCCCTATTGTGGCCCCGCCCTACCCCCGGGGGTCATGATTTGAACAATTTAGAATCTACACTACCCCAGGATGCTTCCATATAAGTTTCAGCTTTTCTGGCCCAGTGGTTCTTGAGAAGAAGATTTTTTAAGATTTTTCCTATATATTTCAATGTAAAACTTGGATTCCCTATTGTGGCCCCGCCCTACCCCTGGGGGTCATGATCTGAACAATTTAGAATCTACACTACCCCAGGATGCTTCCATATAAGTTTCAGCTTTTCTGGCCCAGTGGTTCTTGAGAAGAAGATTTTTAAAGATTTTTCTTATATATTTCAATGTAAAACTTGGATTCCCTATTGTGGCCCCGCCCTACCCCCGGGGGTCATGATCTGAACAATTTAGAGTCTACACTACCCCAGGATGCTTCCATATAAGTTTCAGCTTTTCTGGCCCAGTGGTTCTTGAGAAGAAGATTTTTAAAGATTTTTCTTATATATTTCAATGTAAAACTTGGATTCCCTATTGTGGCCCCGCCCTACCCCCGGGGGTCATGATTTGAACAATTTAGAATCTACACTACCCCCAGGATGCTTCCATATAAGTTTCAGCTTTTCTGGCCCAGTGGTTCTTGAGAAGAAGATTTTTTAAGATTTTTCCTATATATTTCAATGTAAAACTTGGATTCCCTATTGTGGCCCCGCCCTACCCCTGGGGGTCATGATCTGAACAATTTAGAATCTACACTACCCCAGGATGCTTCCATATAAGTTTCAGCTTTTCTGGCCCAGTGGTTCTTGAGAAGAAGATTTTTAAAGATTTTTCTTATATATTTCAATGTAAAACTTGGATTCCCTATTGTGGCCCCGCCCTACCCCCGGGGGTCATGATCTGAACAATTTAGAATCTACACTACCCCAGGATGCTTCCATATAAGTTTCAGCTTTTCTGGCCCAGTGGTTCTTGAGAAGAAGATTTTTTAATGACCCCACCCTATTTTTGTGTTCTCTTGATTTTCTCCCCTTGTGAGGGGACTTGGCCCTTCATTTTAACAATTTAAATTCCCCTTCACTCAAGGATGTTTTGTACCAAGTTTGGTCAAAATTGGCCCAGTGGTTCTTGAGAAGAAGTCAAAAATGTGAAAAGTTTACAGACGGACGGACAGACAGACAGACGGACGGACGGACGACGGACAAAATGTGATCAGAAAAGCTCACTTGAGCCTTCGGCTCAGGTGAGCTAAAAAAGTGATAAAATTCATTTTCAAGATATTGATCACCAATTTAGCCCCACCTGGAGCCTAAACCCTGTGCCCAGGGGCCATGAATTTCACAATTTTGATGAAAGGCTCATTGCTTATAATCACAAACCAACAGTTTGAAATCTTTATTTCCTCTCGAGTCAAAACTTTTGAAGATGGCATTAACTGTCATGACCCCTCAGACCTAATTCTTAATTTTTTCCTCTTTACCCATAAATGCTACATGTATATACTAAAATTTAAAAAAGATTCAGTCATTCAAGAGAAGCTGAAAAATGTTCAAAAGCTTACACACAATACACATTCCATGACGACGAAAAAAAAGATAGCAAAAGGTCACCAGAGTGACCTAAACAAAAACATCAACAAAAAATTCCATTTTAGGACTTTATTTTTAATCAATCGAGCTGCCAACAGATTAAACGTTTTGTGACTCCTGAGAACATGTTAACCTCCACATGACTCTACACTATATATTTCTACATGCCACAAAATAAATTATGCTGCCTTCAAACAGGAATAGGCTTTATTCTAGGGGTGTAACGATATTCAAGTAAACATGTATACTGAAATACACAGAAAAAATCTGAACGTATTGCAGTAAAAAAAAATATCCTGAAATATCACATTTTCAGCATTTTATATTTATTCCTGATGGATTCTAATAAATAAAAGGTGTAGCTGTACATCTCTTGTGTGCTGCACATATTTTTTTTTTAGACACACATCATAAGAGGCATTTGTAGAACTGAATCATTTACAAAGATGGTGTCTGAAAAAGTACGAGTTCATTGAATTATTTTCTTTTTAGTTGAACCTTATTTAGGTGCTTTTATTGACTACTTAAGCCATCATTACCGTTTGTTTTTTTTTTAATTTTTTTTTTTTTTTGTGTGTGTCAGAGTTAATTAAATGTTGAAAAAATAATCTACACCATTTATCCTTTCACATAATAATTTCCCATTTAAGAATTAAGAGAAACAATTTGTATAAAAAAAATTAAATTGATGGCAAGAGATATCACGATATACAATGTAGTCTCTGTATATCAAGATATATCAGGATTATCCTATCGTTACACCCCTAATGGGTTCCTTATAATGATTATAAATGAAATGAATCTAGAACCACAGTGACTATTTACAAAAGAACCGAGGAAACATTAAAACTAAATAAACTACTTATTTTGATCCAAACAAATGATTAATAAAAAAAACTTAAATATAAAGAGAGCACTTTTTGACCCCAACATTTTTTAAATGAAACAAACACAAATATACATTCCAACAATTCACTTATAGAATGAATTAACTGTTTAATAACTCAATATTGTAAAATAAGAAAAAAGCATTCATTATGCATCAAAGATCCCAAAATATTCAAATATTTATAACTTGATCCCAGTACTAATTAAATTAACACATCTTACAAAGGAGACAGAGAACAGATTTAACAAATGTTAGAGATGAACACAAATCAACTGTCTACAGAGAAAGTTCTCAACTGTCAACAGGGAAAGTTCTTCACTCTCAACAGGGAAAGTTTTCAAATGTCAACAGGGGAAGTCCTCAACTGTAAACAGGGAAAGTTTTTCAGACGAATGGTTCTTGGGAACTTGGATGACACTGTTATCATAAGTCATGGTCTGCAACACTCTGTTTCAGATAATCCGAGTAAAGTGATTGCTGTAATGAATGAAATGCCATTTAAATAAAAAATTAAACTGTGCACAAATCCTGAATTAAACAGCACAAAAAGCATCAATTTATACAAAAATAATAAACAGGCAAGTTTTTAAAATGGTTATGACAAGAACGGGCAAAAAATGACCACCCTTCAATTTTTCAGGAGGAATAATGAAATGTTTACATTTATCTCAGACCTGTCTACACTTTTCATTGCAGAGGTGTAATCTAAATCTAAAATTTGGAATTTCAGAGACAATGAAGTAATTTTGATGGGGGGGGGGGGGGGGGGGGGGGGGTTCGCTTTTTTTATTCGGTATCTCAGTGTGATTCTATATGAACTAAATCAGACTCAATTTTGTATATCATACAATAAAGGACTTAAAGATAACTTTTTGATCATTTATTGACAAAAATCTTATGATCTGTAAAACATCCACTTTCTATCATCCCAACATGTCTTAAACTTATAACTATACTCTTAATGACGGATTTGGAGAACAGCTTGCAAATCACAACATTTCCATCTTTCAGTGCCTTTTTAAATGGCAACTATCATTAATCGTTTATACATGATGTATTTGCACCTGTTTCTTCTTCCAAGCCATCTTGCTTATGATTATTTCTGGTATTGTACTCGTAAAGAACTATAGCCCCCTTGATGTATAAAGCACTTTACAGATCTTGTCTACACATATAAGTAGGTCATACTTAAATTTAACAATAAGTTGTTCACAAAGGAAACCTCTAAATAACACAATTTTTTAAGCCTGAAATTTTAAAAGCGTAAAATTGATTTTTATGGAATAATTATAATAATTTAAGGATGAATAAGGATGAAAAGGGGAAGAAACATGCTAAAACCAAAAAGGAAGGCAGGTCTATTATCAGCAAAGATTGATCTCTTCTTTGAGAGTTGTCTTAACATATTATTTATTTCACATATTCCTTACCTTCTTCTTTTTGACAATGTTCTGCACATACTCTCTTACTCCAGATAAATATTTCTTGTCCTTCCGAGAGAGTGTTGGCTTTGTTCTGGATTAAGATCAAATAAATAAAATTCTTATTAATATCTAACAAATACATTGCTGTAACAAAGTTAATCAATTCTCAGATGACCCCCCCCCCCCAAAAAAAAAATTATTATTATTTTAATGGAAGACAGAAGTTGTACCTGGACTGGAAACACTTCTTTTCAGTTTTACATTTACACAATTTTGTATATAACTAGTGCCTCAAGCAAGTTTATTTGAAATTAAACCAAAACTGTAGAAAGAGAAACATCATGAAGTGGTTGTATTCAGCATTAATCTAATGACCCACTGGACCAAGTAATGGTTCAACATGGGTCTTCTAACAAAGAGATACTGTATGCATGAAAGCAATATCCATAATATAGTAAAAAAAAAAAAAGCATTATTCTGTTCTGTTAAAATTTAAAGGTTAAAATGTTAGTCACACAAAAGTACTATTAAAATCCCCACCAGACACATTATATGTATTTACACAAGTCAGGTTTATGACGCAGACTCAAGTTAATTAGAGCACTGTTCTTTGTAAATCGTTGTAACAGATGTTGATTTACAGGTGAAATCATAGACTGAAAAACTAGTAACTAACAAGTTCTCAATGTACTTCAGACCTGAATCAGTAAACTGAACTGGGCTGAGTAGCAGGTGTCACCCAAATTTACAATCAAGACTAGCTCAACAGCAAGTTAAAACAAAATCCACATTGGTATACAAGAAAGTGCTTTAGATTCAGAAAAATTAACATTTAGCATTCCCATCAACTTTGAATAAAATGCATGTACTGTATTTATTTTTTTTTATTAAATAAGTAACGCTTACCAGAAAGTACTAGTTCTGAAACATGAAGCCTATATATGAAATGCATTTATATGTAATATTATGAACTCCTATTGTGTCTCATCCTGGCAAAAAATGCAATATGAATCCAACAAACAGGAAACTATACAACATCAGAAGGTGTACAAATTAGATACTGTATGTAGCTTTGTTTACTGTGAGAAATGTGACTCCACCCAGCCACAGGAGTATGATACAAACAAACTTAAAAATTACATGGAGATGCTTGCATTCAAATTTGCTTGTTATTTCTTTGCTGTTTTTTGTATATTGAGCCATCTTTGTTTCCTCATTTTTATTGCAAGGGACAGCATTTTAACAAACAAGAATCTACACTATAACTATAGATGTCTTAGGGGATGCTGATGCCCCATCACAGACAATTTTTTTTTTATATTTAGATGTGACTAATCTGTAAAAATGTCCCAAGTGGAATTCCACACTATACCATTGTAAAGTAAATGGCCATGAAAACAAAACATCTACTTCTAGAAACAAAAGCAACACCCTTTGATGCCTGATCCCAAAAGTAATAATATCTTGGCTCTTCATCAGCTATATCATGGCGCAAATATGATCATTCCAACCTATACCATTCTCATGTCATTACAAGGGAACCTGAGCAGGATGACTGGGTGGATGGACTAATAAGGGAACTTACCCCATCCCCACTCTTTCCATGCAGGGGCATAAAAAATGAATGATTAGTTTATCCTAAGGAGTTGGTCTTAGAAAAGAATATCTTCAAATATTGCCACTATATTTCCTGATTTAACCCCCCTCCCCTCACCAACGTACACATAGAGGATACAGTCCTCAATTAATTTCATTCAAGGACACCTTGGCAACATTAAGCCAATATCTGCATGGTAATTCTGAACAAATCCAAAGAATGTGAATTCAACAGTCAGTTCTAGTATGCTATTAATATGTATTTTTGAAACGTGCGTCCCCTTCAGTGCATAATTCCACATTCTTTCAGTTACAAATAATGTTCAATCTCAATCTCACACAGCTTAAGTGTTACAAGACTGAAATAAACAAAGCAGACATCTAAAGGAAGCATTTACCTAGAGACCCTTTTCTGTACACCTATGGCCTGAAAGGATTCATTTCTTTAATACAAATCATCATACCTTGAGACATATCTTGCAATTAGCAGCATTATAAGAGTAAAGAACAGGATGAAGTATAGGATGTAATTAGAATACTGGGGAGGAATCGCTCTCCATCCTCTGGCCAAAGGACCCTGCAATAAAAAAAAGGAGCACAGAATTAAATTCAAAATAAAATTTACGAAAAAATGGATAAAAAATGTTCATGTATGACTGTACAGTGATGTAATTTCTACTGGTTATTTGCCTGAATAGAGAAGAATTTGTGGTTCTTACCAAATAAATCCCCAATGTGTCCAAAATATTTTCTCCCAGAAAATCTTTCATAAATTTCTTTTGCGTTGAGATGAGGTATGTGGTCAGCATGAGGAATGGCATGAAGACCCCCAGCAAGCCAAAACTAGCCCCTCGAAATCGTGCTGAGAGATTTTCACTGCTAGTCTCCCTGCAAGAACATTATAGCACCTATAAAGTACTTTATTTCTAATATATCCTTCAACTGTTCATGATAATTTTTTGTAAACTCGAAGCCCTGATGGTGAAAATTTTCTGATCTGACTTCTAGGTATGACCCTCATCTGATGTCTTGACAAAATATAAAGTATTGAGGAAGGTTCTACAAATATGGCCAAGGTCAAAAGTAGTGAACAGACAAAAAAATGATAGCAAATAAAAAAAGGGGAATAAAATGTTGTTCATATTTGTTAGTAATGATTTATGCTTGTTCAGGTTTTGCTAATTATTCATTTTTTGGGTATTTGTTTTCCCCTCCCTTAATTAGTAAAGACTGTATACTTATCAGAACAAAGATAAGTCACTGTAAAGCATACTGAAAACAGAACTTGCTTAAGCTACCACCACAATTCAAGCAAGAGTAGGAAAAGAATCAATAAATATTTAAACATGGAGAAAATTCATATCTTACAAAAAGGAATTCATGGTAAAGATGAATGAATATGAACAGAGTCTATTGGTTCTGTTCAATAATCTCTTCCCAGTAAAGAACCTACGCATTCTTTTTTAGTTTTGTTTCCACCAGTTCAGCTATTTGGTCACAGTCACGCTCCAGTGAGTTTAGTGTGTTCTGGATGGTTTGGTTGATGGTTTTTTCGATGTCCTGACACACATCTTCAATCTGGTTCACACAACTGCTGTTTTTCTGGTTCATGTTCGGAATGAAGATTGTTGGCATCTCAAACCCTGTACGGTTTAGGTTAGGTCGCTTACAAAGTTCTTGTACAATCTGCATAAGGACTCTCTACAAATCAAATCATGAAAAATATCCTGTTGTTATGAATTTAGTAAAGAAGCAAAACTAATAAGCACTTGTTATTATTTCTCTATAACTAACAGTAGCATAAAGAATGTGAAGCAGTTATGTAAAATAATGAATAGATACTTGGGATAATTACATAATTGACAGCATGAAAGTATTAAAATAAGTAGTGCAAAATCATTTCTATCCCTTCATTGAATGTTTTTGGGTAAACAAAAGAAATTTTTACATACAATTGTATATATATGTGTCTTCAACCTTTCATGCTTTTATTATCAGTCACATGAAATGATTGAAAACATCATGAAAGTATTAAAATAAGTAGTGCAAAATCATTTCTATCCCTTCATTGAATGTTTTTGGGTAAACAAAAGAAATTTTTACCTACAATTGTATATGAGTTGCGTCAAGCGAAAAGGGACCTTCGTGACATGAACGTAATTACGTCACAATAGCGCTTCAAAGACGTGACGTTTCATTTGTGCGTTTGCCGATAAAAAATATTCATACGATAAAGCAAAACAAAAATATATTTGCGTAATACATATGTTAATATAAAAATAGACACGCCTTTAATTGTCCAAAAAATGTATAATCTCGTCAATTTATAGATTTTCTGGTAATTTTTCAAAAATAATATATAAACTAATTTAATTTTTGATAGTTCATGAATGGCTTTTTTCATCAGCTGTCAAAAATGTTCATGAACAAAGCCATGTACGTGTTTTCCTCATTAGGCTCTGACAATCGCGTCTTTTTTGGCTGAGTTCCGTCTACAGATAAGTCAAGTGGTCCCCTGCATTTATTTCAATGTTTTTTGTTATGTTTTTTTTGGGGGGGGGGGGGTACATGTAACACATTCCAAGTTGTTTCTCCGGTAGGCAGAAAGGCCCGAGAATTTGCGACTCAATGCCCAAAGTTTGTCATCTGAGATTAAGTATCCGAATCAAGTTCTCTGATACTAGCATAGTTGCAATAGCGTTTTTTGTCAATACATATTGGGGGGGGGGGGGATAAAAGTAGCAGCTAGGAAACTTTGTCTGTAGCCATGTCATAAAGGATGAAGCGGCAGCCATGAACGACTTCACCTTTTGCGCAACACCCTGCGGTTTGAAAACTGGTGTAATAAAATGTGAAGATAATAAACAGTGGTTATTTTCAAAATTAATTTGAGGTCTTGTATTCATTGCCTACATTAATTGCAATTCTAGTAAATTAAAACTAAACACAGTAACTTTGGGGAAAGCTGATGTTGTTTAAGTCGAAAATTAAGAGCGATATTGGTTATCTAAAATTTTAAATCAGACTTACATGTATGTACATTAGTTTTATTTTCTGATTTGAAGTTTATTTATTTTATTTCAGGCAAATGCAGGACATCTTGAGCTTACAAATTTTCATAATATCGTAAAATTTAAAATGGTTTAATTACCCCCTCCCCTTTTTTGGTGTGTGCTAATGTTCGTTTTTTATTACTACGGAAAGGGAAGACGTCGCGCACAATATTGGTGTTACTTCAGCCTTTCAAGGATTAATTCCTACTTTTATCTTCATTCTCTCTTAATTTTCTTTATTTTTTTAAAATAAGTTATTTTTCCTTTCGATTTTTCTTGTTCAATTTCGTTTTTACGTATTTAATTTACTATATCAATTTCTTTTTTATTTCGACCATAACCACTTTGAAAACACAACGATACAGTCCCTGAAACGTTCTACTTTCCCATTTTTCCGTTCGCTCACCGTTCGTTCACCGTTCGTTCAGCGTGCGTTCACCGTTCGTTCACCGTGCGTTCTCCGTTCGCTCTCCGTTCACAGTTTTGCGTTCAGCGTTCACCGTGCGCTCGCGTTCACCGTTCACAAAGCGTTCACCGTTCGCTCTTCGTTCGTTCACTTTGCGTTCACCTTGCGTTCAGCGTTCACTTATCGTTCAGTCTTTATTGTCATTCGGAACTCCGAAGTGAAAGGACTTATCTTTTTTAAGTAAGGATTTACATGTTTTGAATTTAATAAATAACATATCGTGTTTAAAGAATCATTATTTCATGGGAAAAAATTATCTACAATACTTATTTTTATTATTCTAACTTAGCTTTTAGGTTATTTATAAAATTTATCTGGAAAATAAATGTTGTTATAAGTACATGTATGTACCTATGTAGAACGATGCTGAAAAATTAAATTTAAATACGGACAATATACAGATACTTCAAGCACTGCAACATTTTGTTGTTATGTTAATGACGACAAATCGTTAATGTCGAAGTCAATTAATTAACCAACTGCAACAAAAATATGAAAATATTTACTTCTATCACATTTTTTTCAAATAATACAGAATTACATGTTAGAAATTGTTCTATAATGATAAACAGTACTGCGGATATCCAGTTAATTAAATATCTTTAGAGCGAATTAAATAGATAGTGTTGTTCAAAAAAAAATATTTGTTTAAAATGTAATACATTAAAAAAAAATTTCTACTATACATATATAAAGTCTTTAATTAGAAAGAGAAAAATGCCTTTATAACATGATTATCATTTATATAACCAAGGTGATTCTCCAGTAATGATATTTTTCACCGTAACTTTATATGTGTGTCATTCGATATAATCAAGAGCCCCCCCCCCCCTTTCCCCTAAATCGGCTACTTAGTTAGTATTTCCAGTACATTTTAATTAACATTTAAAAAGAGGCTTAATGTGTTTTGTAGCACAAAAATTTCAGTCTCAAAACAAACATACATATAAACAAAGTCATTAAACAATAGTAGTTCAGAATATACATGTGCCGGTGGTGATATTTTAAATTGGCAGGGAGTATGTTTCAAACTAAAGCGGCTTAATCTTTCCAAGTGTTTATTCCCAATGTATTTTATTCATTTATTTATTTACTTTTTAGAAATGTTGGAATCAGGTCTAGAAATGATAAGAAAAACTGTTAAAACCTCTTGGAAAGACTAACACTTTGCCTTCGGTGTGACGAGACTTTCACACCTGCACAGTGTCGAATGATTTTGATTGACAGGTCAAGCACGTGGACTTCGTGTGAACTTGAAGCAAGGAAATAAAAACTGATTAAGACTGTAAAACAAATGGATTTGTAGATTTAAAAAAATGGTTTCTTTCACTGCCTGATATATTTAGAAAAAAAAATTAAGAATTTTTGTTTGATATAGGTACAAACATTTGAGGAAAGGGGGGGGCTAAAACCGAATCTCTCTCTCTCTCTCTCTCTCTCTCTCTCTCTCTCTCATTTATCTGTTTCATAAAAACCTTGACCGCATATTACTTAAATATTAAGTTGTGAAAATTTAATATATAACAAATAATATGATTGCCTCTTTGCATCATCTTGTCCGAGTATAATCACGGCGGGAAATGTCTACAGATACATGTAGAAGTCTGCTCAATAAATCGTCATAAAAAATAAAACGGACTCATAAATATATTGTTGCATTAAAATTTTAAAATACACGTGTATTTATGCAATACGTCCACATACCTATGGAAAATATTTTTTCTCTTTATTTTACACGGAATCGCCTTGTATGGTTGTTACAACCGTTGTAATTCGTTCTATAAGTCCATAGTTTTCTCTTCTAGAATCCACATTATTTGTAATGGTTTTATATATCAAATAAGAATAAACATATTTATTTTACAACTAGATTAATTTCATCTGTTATACTACAGCGTTCGGTAACAATTACAATGTTTTACATCGATAAAAATCGTGTTATTAAAAAGTTAAATTTAAATATATGTGCAGAAAATATTGTAAGAAACTGAAATTAATAATTTTACTTAATGTGCATGTATCGTCTTTTTTAGGACAATTTTCATTGATTTGTTTATTTATTTATTTTTTAGCACCAGGAATTAGAATACAATAGAATAGTTTCAATGCAAGGAAAAGATCAGAGGCATTCCGAATAAATCGTTCATCTTGCGTTCACCGTTCGTTCACCGTTCACTTTGCGCTCGCGTTTGCGCTCCGTTCGCGTTCTGCGTTCGCTCACCGTTCACCGTTCACACATCGTTCACCAAGTTGCGTTCAGCGTTCACACATCGTTCACCCACCGTTCGCTCTGCGTTCGTTCACCGTTCGTTCACCGTTCGTTCAGCGTTCGCTCACCGTTCAAGTGGGAAAGTAGAACGTTTCAGGGACTGTACCTGCACCATACCCCCTCCCCTTTCTAAAAAAAACCCCGCTCATTTATTTGAACACTTTAAGTGCGGAATCATTGTCTTGAAATTCACATCACCAGTAAAGTGGTGTAGATTTTTTTCAGACAGTATCTCAATAGTTCCATTTTCTTTCTCATATATGTATTTGCAGAGGATCAGGAGAATTTAATATTTGGAAGCTGTACATCCCCCTTGTTAGTGTTGCCATAGACCTATCTCAATTTACACTGCGATATTGTAAAATCAATGCTAAGGCCACATAAATTTAAAATTTAGATTCTCATCCTAATCTGCTAAAAAATTGGGGCGGGTGGGTGGATTTTATTTTTTATTTTTTATTATTGAAAATATTTACATAACGCTCTTCTTACACAAAATTTTCACATTATGTTAATGGCAATATGAATATATTTTATTATTATTCTTTTAAATATCTACAGAAGATTCTTGTTATAGAATATTAAATATTTATAGTTTTTATTAATGAATTTTCAAGTACATGTAGATACGGCACACGTCACACAAAATGGGGTGTGGATCCCAATAAATTGCATATGCTGTATGTAGTAGTCACGACTTCTCATCAGCCTTTTTCCAAATACCTTTTAGTTTTACCAACAACTCCTTTTGCTTTGTGTGAAATATCACAGATTTCCACTGTCCTCATACTTTCGTTCTTGAGACTTAACACGTTCAACATTAAAATATGTCATTTTTGCAAAACAGGATGTCTAAAACTGTAAAATATTCTACTGAGAAGCGTATGCTCAACATTTTTAAGATTTACCATTT